GTTAGCTTTTCTCATTTTGAAACGTGTTTCTTATAAATCATGAATCATTATATTCTTATTTTACCTATTATTATTGTTTTCATTTCTTATTTTATTCATTATTATTATTGTTTTAAATTTAGTTTAAAAATGTGCAGTGCATATAGAAATCCTTATGTAAAAATATATCTGCATCTCTTTCATATATCATCTATAAATTCTCTCTTTATTTTTACTTTATTGCATATTTTATCATGCACATAATTTCTCATAAAACTGTCCAAAGTTTGAACCTCATTCTAAATTCAAAAAATAAATAAAAAGAAAAAACAAAAGACCAAGGGAGAGCGAGTTAAAAAAATATGAAGTTGGTTTTATTATATGGTGGATGGTTGTATATAAAGAGAATTAAGTAATTTAATTCTCTTTATATACTGTATTCGAAACCAATTTTATAAATCCTAATTTTCATACGATATAGAATCTGCAAGTTTGTCAAACTGGTCGATATTCATCCTGAAGGAATTAAAAAACAAGTACCCCCAACCCCCCCCCCAAAAAAAAAAAAATTAAGTCAATTCCTACTTAGGTTCACAAAGAAAAGTTTAAAAATACAAAATAAATAAATAAATAAATAAATTAAAATACAAACATAATTTTTTTAAATTAAAAAATTAAAAAAAATTTAATATGTGAAAAAGCTGTATTAACATCAAGTGTCATTCACTGCAAGTTTAAAAAATTGTATTTGAACTTGAGTGGACGAATAAAAAGCATTTTATGTACTGCAAATTTGAACAAGATATAGGAAGAGTGTGAGCTAATAGTAGGAATTTAATTCGGACAACTTGCCGCAAAACATACAGAAGAACAGCGAAGTAATAAGATACAGCTCTGTTGACGCTATATTGCAGCGTCACGTGATTTTTGCGCAAAATAATTCTATTGGCTAAACGCACTCTTCGCAAGGGTACTCGTTTGGACGCTTTTACGCTGGTAACGTAAAAGCGCGTTCGTCGGCTACGTTTCGAGCGTACTCGTGTAGACGGGCCTTTACACATAGCAACAGGAAGCGATCGTCTGCCGTTATGGTAGTCCTCCGGCATCCAAACCCGCGTCTTATACAGAGATTTTGACCACTTTGGTTACGATTAGACAGCCTATTGATGACAATACGATGCACATTCAGATCTCTCAGTAGCGGATTGTCTTGCACCAGCTTGCTCGACAGCCCTCCAGTGTATTTCGTCTTAAAATGTTGTCTCCAGCTCATGCTTTTGGCTTTGGCGATCTCGAATTACACGGAACTATCGCTGCTTGCGAACTGACGCATCGGTTCGGCATGCCCCTTTTTCAGGCGTTGTAGTGTGACTGCGGGATTACGTTTTACGCTAATTTTGGTGTCCTATTTACATACGGTTATGCAACCACTACCTCACATGTAAATTGTATGTTTTAATTCCTCTTTTTTACGTCTTCTTAGGGAAGTCTTCTTTTAGCGTTCGTTTCCTATTTTTTGATCACGAGTGTATTTTCCACTTTATTAGCCAGGCCTTAAATGCATGTTTGCAGTTTTGAAAATATTGTATGACTGGCCTAAAAAATGCACTTTTTTGGGGGGGGGAGGCAAGGATCTCTGTCTCATGGGCGCATGTTGTTTGAGTAATGCTTGATATACTGGCTTGAACAGCTCTTAATACTATATATTAAATAGGCGAACTACAAAGTATCTACCTGTTAGGAGGATTTAATGATGCTCCTGGTTTAACTCAGGAAATCAAGATCCGAATGATTCAAAGAAATTATTGTTCCAATAAGTCTGCTTTTCTGTATGGCAAAATATTTGAAAGAATTCTGCAAATCTGCATTAATAAAATCATTGAAGATCGCAGCCTTTTCAGCTCCGCTCAGTTCGGATTTAGTATGGTTAACCAAATTATCCATGTAAATGAAATCATGGCAGAAGCATATACTAAGAAAACAGCGGTTCGACAAAATTTGGCATGCAGGATTCCTCTAAAAACTTCAAAAGAATAACTTTCCTATCATTATCATTAAAATCATTAACTCCTTCCTCAAAAATCGAAACTTTCAAGTAAGAATTGGAGATACTGTCAAATATGAGAAAATATAAAGCTGATACACCTCAAGCCGCTATCCTTTCACCTCTATTTAATACCTTTGATGATGATTTTCCTGAGCCACTTAATTCTAAAGTTGCAAAATATGCTGACGACACAGTAATTCTTACCAAGTCCTTAAAACCATAATCTGCCTTCGGAAAACTTCAAATTGCTATCAGCATCATCATACTCTCGTGCAAAATCTGGCGAATCAAGCTAAATCCTTAAAAATGCAATATTAGTTTACTCAGAAGACATCGGGAACCTAGCTAAAAAGGGAACTGAAATTTTGCTATAAAATAATAACGGGTTACCATTTACATCAATGAAAGTAATAGTAAAAAATGCTATGAGAGAAAATTTTGATGTTAAATTGCTTGAAGAAATTAAGAATAAGAAGTGGAGGTATTCGATTCGTAACATCGCGGAATATCCCAGATCCATCACAGTTGCGGAGTTCCGTTTAGAGACCGGACATGATTGTTTCGCTAAACATCTGCAGCCGATTGGTACATACGATAGACACTTGTGCACTTTATACAAGCAGAATTTTGAGATTGACATAGATCAGTTTGTAAAATGTTCCAAGTTGAAGGAAGAAAACCTATACAGTCGATATTAGTGGGCCAGAGAGTTGAAGCAGCTGAAAGCTAGTACCTAATTTTTTTTTTCATTTTCCAATTACAGTGTAGTTATTGTTATAGTAATGAAGTTAATTATAATTTTTTTTTTTTTTTTTTAAATTTTAGTTTTGCATTTTTGGGGGCCAATGATGTATAGTGAAGTGCCTTTGCAATAAAAAGTATTTGAAAAATGCTCCCACGAACATAGAAATCAAAATCTGTAATACTGCACTCCCAATCTGCACTTCAGTTAATTACCTAGAAGTTTATCTGGGTGAGCAGTTATCACTTAAAGAGCACACTTATAACGCACAGCGAAAAGCAAATGCCGCTTATATGGCGATATACGTATTACTTGGAAGAAACTCTAAACCGCACTTACAAATCAAACGACAATTATATCTCACTTTAATCAGCCAATCCTTCTTTATGCAGTACCAGCATGAGCTACTGTAAACAAAACACATCGGAAAACATTAGTACCTCAGAACAAAATTCTCAGATATATAGTAAACGTCCAAATGGATCATCAGAAACGCCCAAATTCTGTACTAACTAAAAATTAATAGCATTCATGATTTCATCTTAACCTCCAGTCATACATTTTTTGAAAAAATGCGAAGCTCGGAGCATCTCCATCTTCAAAAGATACATCACTTCGCATATGGTTATCAAATTCCGCTTAACTCTTTGCGGCACAGTGTGTCCGGTGTGGACACACCTAAAAATTTCTTTCTGTATGCACAGTAAAATTAAATGAATAAGGATTTATAGGTTACTCTGAACCTTCTTTATTTATAGTAAATGGCAGCTCAACACAAACCAGTCCATATATTTTAGCCATGTTTAGTTTTTTAAGACCCTCATTTTTCAAAGAAATCTTCTAGATTTTTTTAAGGGTATAAAAGGAATCGCTTGAAAAGAAATTTCTATGTTAATTTTTTGGCTGTATGTTAAGCTCCTTATTCTATATTAGTTTTAAATTTTTACCTTGAAAGCTTGCCTAAAACCAAACGGCCCTAGGTGTGCCCAGACCAGGCTCACCGATAATCTAGGACAACTGAGAGTCTGTATTCTTTGTTTCTCCGCATCTCATCGGTCAGTTCATTGACAACATTGCTCGTTTAAGCACTCGTTTCGAAGCTCTATTCAATCAGTGTGCCCACTTTGGGCACAACAACAGAATTAAACAATAAGTGTTTAAGAATTAAACGATAACTTGTGTACTCCTCTAGGCCTAATTAGACTGCCTACTTTTTTTTTTTTTTTTAATCAAAACTCCAACTTTAAAAGGTAGCGTGCCGGAAAGGGTTAAACAACAGTGAAGCGGTTCTAGGCATGGCTACAATAATATACCCAAGAATATTGGCTTCGATCTGAATATGATACGATTTTTTAATTTTTTTTAAATCCTGTTCTCGTGTTGTTACCAATCTCACTTGTCTAACAATGGTTAGCACAAGCCTAAGATATTTATCGTGGCAAAGGAGTCAAATGCGCCTGCCGTTGGAAAGAGCCTTGAGCACCACATAAGTGACATCTCGACTTTAGCTCAGTTCCGCCCCAAATTTTGAGCAACTCAGGGGAACGGGTCTGAGGGTCTCTCACCCCTTTTCCCCTACCACCAACCTCTCGGGAGTACTTTCGGATTGCTGCATATTTAGAGTGCCCCCATGCCTTACAGGTACTATACATTTACAAACATCCATGCCTTCTCCAAGATTCGAGCTTCGCCCTTCGGTACGATCATCAGCGTCACTAACCACTATCCCCCTTAGGCTGTTAATCCTACCCTCATCTGCTTGATAAAGCAAGCTATGGACTTGGTATTTTAAAAAAATTCTGAACATGACAAAGGAGGTAAAAACCTTGTACATTTTCTCCATATTTCTCCTATATTAACCTGACAATGCCGGTATAGACTCTCTTCATCCTAACCAGACAAAACAGGTGGTTAACTTTGATTTCAGTTATTATACTTAACCCTGCAGGAAACTGTCTATCTGAATGCCAAATGTACATAAACATTTAAATTCTTGCTTTACTTAGTCAAAATAATTGTACATTGTTCTATTCATTTTGTATATTTGCTGCATATAATCTCGACTAAAATGATATTGTGATACTTCAAGATTCTAGCTGTATTCTTACAAATATCTACAATACCACGATTTAACGTATTACTTCGAAGAATGTTTACTTGGTATTATCACCAATAGAGACCGCCACTGTCTCAGACCGGCTTCGACTTTGGCGAAACTGCGCCGTTCTCACTACACGATCGCTTTGAGTCGAGAGAATATGATTTCGTGTTTGTAAACACTAAATTTTTGCTATCGCCTTATCGGCGGCACGCTTTAGCGTGCTTAAATAGAAATTTAAAGGTATCGCCTTTGGGCAAAGTCATCAAATATATATAAATAACAATAAAGCTAATATGCCTATTGTACCATCAGTTCAATGAAGTGTATGGTTGGTTAGTGTGTGTCTTAGAAACTGAAGTATCGACTAAGTAATGAGCTACTAAACTTTATAAACCTTCATCTCTTTTCGTATTTTCAATTTAATAGGTGCTAAGCAAAAATAACATATAAAGTTCCTAAGCGTATTTTGAAACTATAAAAGTGGTATCGTTTTTCATGACAAACCAGCTGATTACTTTTATGAAGTTACTGTTTCTTGTTAACAAAACTGATGGTTACCTAGGTAAGTTTTACAATAGTATATTCTAATATCGTTTTCTTTTCAGTTAGCTAGTTATATATCACCATCTTGAACCTTAACAAGTTGTGTTTAACCCATTCCCGACCGAAAAGAAAGTAACTGAAAAACCAGCATAGAATTTATTTTGTGCTTCATTTCATGTCCAATAACATATTTTACATTGTTTCATCAAGTCAAATGCCACGCACATGGATGTGAATATCAGAACATATGGCATTTTATATTTAAATTTCAACTCAAAATGCTTCTTTTGTTTATAATTATTGCAAACAAAGTGGGCAAAGTCCTGAATGAATTTCTTTTCTGGTTGACAACTTCCGGACTAAAGAGATGTAACTTTTTATTTCTTATCTTTTTCCTTTTTTGGCTGAAAGGAGGTGGCATGATTAGTTTACTTATTTTTATTTCAATGTTAATTTCAAATCATTTACGACAAGTTCATATCTGCATTGTATCATTTTTCGGTGACTCTTTTGCTCTGTATTGTTCTTAGGATATCCTTTGCTTGTCTCATATTCATTTCTCTTGTAATTGCATCGTATTAGAATATAATATTAAATTTACTGAGAAATGAAGTAAACCCAATCCCTTAATTCCAGCGTGGGGTATTTTGCCAAAAATTTGTAAATGTTCCGAGTTTTTGTGCAGAACATGTGCAATGGAAAATGTTAACAGAACTGCTACAAAATGCTAATAATATCTGGAAATTAGTTAGAGGGAAGTCCAGTGCTTTCTTATACATATGATTTATTCATGTGATGATTAATATGGTATGATTTCATATGATCGCAGGAACAATTTGTAGAGAACAGTTTGTTTTCTAGGGTTATGAGAGCGATTGACAAACAATACTCACTGCGAGGAGGGAATTATAATCAATCTGCTTATGTAAAAAATGTGTTTCATCTCATAAGGCCTTAATAGATAGTTGATGGTTTATTAGCTGGTACTAGCTAATATAACATTTTTGATATTAACAGATATATTTCATCGTCAAAAAGTGCCATTAGTTAGCTGGCATTTATCAGCAGGTATTCTGATTTATTTCTGAGTTCAACCAGTGAATAATTTCTGTAATATCTATTATAAAATTTAATGCAATTTATTAAACAAATTAAAATCCAGCTAAAATCTTTGAAAAGTGAAATTTGAAAGCTTTATATCACTGGAGCGTCATTAGGTTATTTTCATGCTGGAGACCTGAAAAATGAGCAATGCCCTCACCGGGACTCGAACCTGGACCTCTCGAATACGCGACGAATGTGCTACCGTTACACCACTAATGCATGCAGAAAGAAGGAAGAAAATACTTTATATCACTTCACAGTATCTATGCAGAATAAATGAATATTAAATAAGTAAAAGGATCTAGATGAAGTAAGTACTTTTAAAAGTTACTGACAAATCAAATTCTGCATTTTTACTTTGGTACTTTCTGATTATTCGCATTCCCAGTTTCAACATTCTCTAAAGCAGTTTGGTTGCATTTTCAAGTTTACAACGATAACAGCCAGTTCACACATGTGTACATCATACACATGTTTGAGTTCTTGTGAATTTTCACATTTCGTATATTTAGCCGTCATTTTGCTTAATAATATCCACTAGCTGTAAAAAATTAAAATATTATCCATATAGATTCTTTTTCATAAAATTTCTTGTTTCTCATAAAATGTTTCTTTTTATTCTTATTTATAAACCGAAATCTACGTATGAGTTGTAAAGATAGCCAAGCAGATTTCAAGCGAATTTTCGTAGTTGCGAATATTCACTGGAGATTTTTTGTGGGGTTGCAGTTAATCTGAAAATTCACTTACCTTTAGTTAAATAAATATTTTCAAACATTTCTTAAAATCACTATTGTAAAAATATATTCATGTTGGCTATTCAAATATAAATTTAAATAATGAGTCAGCTTTTATACATGATTAAATTACAGTGACAATTTAATTATGCGACGATATTTTAAGACATAACTATAATTTTTGTATTTGGTTGATATGTTAGGTTTACATTTTCTGAATTTCTTATTGCCCATGTTATCACTAAAAAAGTATTTAAATATTTTTAAAATGACTTTTGTGTATTTTATATGAAAGGAGGCTGAAATTTCTGCTTTAAATTGTTTACAAAAATAGCATTATGTGCATTTACCTTTTGCTATGTCCTATATAAAATATAACGTTATTCACTGATTTATTGATCACTTGTAAGCTCTGACAGACATTTCAACCTCTTCATAATAATTTTTGTTATATTTTCATTTAAATTAGTCTGTAATAAACCTTCTTAAATAGCCTTAAAATTTATGTTCAAAGCTGAAACTTTATCTATAAACTCTATATAATTCTATCAATTGTTATGTGCACAATAAGATACAACTGCATTATTGCTCTTGAAGGCTTTTAAAACTGAATATTGAAGAGAACTGCGATAGATAAATGGAAATACATTGTGATCCTTGATGAAGCACGGGTTTAGCTAAATGACCACATCACAAAAAGGTCTATTTATTATCAAAAAACAAAGAGAAAAAAGTGTACAAACCTGGTTTCATCAATGCAAAAGAAAGTTTCAGGTAGGTGTTTATGACTGTCAAGGGATTCTTCTACAATGGGAAATTAAAAATAAGAAAAAGGGAAAATAATGTTAAAATCAACTCAATGTATTATCAAGAGAACGTTTTACGTCCGATATTTAAAATAGAAATTCCATTTCTTTATCCCAGAGACTTTGAAAGAATGTAACTTCATCAAGATAAGACAACAAGCTATGCTTCGAAATGTACCATTACTTTCCTTGAAAAAATGAAGATATACAAGTACTGCATATATACCTTTTTGATATATTCCTGTGAAGTTCCCTGATATTTCACCTATGGACTATTGTGCTTTTGATCTTTTAAAAAGAGCTCTCTTCTAACACGATTGCTGGACTCTGGAAAGCAGTGGAAAGAATAGAAATCTATACGCTTGGAAATTTTATGAAAAGCTCTTCTGTCATGGAAATCATGACCGTGACTTACAGTCCTGAAAAAGTTAGCAGTTCGAACATTAAAAAAAAACTTTTAAACATTAATTATACGAAATTATTCTAAAAATGTGCGAACACCTTCTGTATTTCCTATGAATTGTTTTCATCATGTTCATTATCTGGGTTTGATGGAAAAATTTCCTCATCTGTTATATCATTATATTTCTAAAGAACTGTAACTTTCCTCTGATCCTTATTTTCCATTCCTGTAACTGAATAACTGCAGTTGATACCTATATGTCACTGTAACCATATTCAGCCATACCTGTAACTTAACCATATATAATCAGACTGCATTGCGTTCTGCATAATTTATGTAATATTTTCTTTCAATTAGTACCTGCTGCTCATCTTGGGGAAGAGTGCAAGGATGATAGAGAGTGTCATCAAAAAGATCCCAACAGTTATTGCTCGTTCCAGGATCAGCACCTGCTTTGTTCTTGTAAGATTAATTACCACATCAGTTTAATAAATAATACAGAGAAATGCATTTATGGTAAGTCATTCTTTTACTAGTAAAATATCAGAAATGTGTATAAAGTAAAGTGTGTTTTCGTAACATAGCTCTGTCACCAGAAATAGGTAAAGATATTTAATTTGCAAAATGGATGGAAAATCTTAAAGAAACTTATCTGAAATTTTATAGCAAAAGATCTTTTTTTGAAGAAAATGGAGAGACATATACTGTGTGCCATTTTTCATGAATGAAAAAACAGTGATGGGTTCATAAATTAAACGCACTAATTTTGCTTTGTTTGGCATCACAATTATAAAAGCAGTCTGTTTCGTTTTAACATTTTTCATTAAAAAAATGCTACATTATAAGCAATTTCAGCATTTATCTGAAAATAATGTTAAAATAATGAATATAAATATCTGAATAAATATCTGAAAATAATGTTAAAATAATGTTAAAATAATGTTAAAATCAACTCAATGTATTATCAAAAGAACGTTTTACGTCCGATCTTTAAAATAGAAATTCCATTTCTTTATTCCAGAGACTTTGAAAGACTGTAACTTCATCAAGATAAGACAAGTTATGCTTCGAAATGTACCATTACTTTCCTAGAAAAAATGAAGATATACAAGTACTACATATATACATTTTTGATATATTCCTGTGAAGTTCCCTGATATTTCACCTATGGACTATTGTGCTTTTGATCTCTTAAAAAGACTTTTTAAGACTTTTTTCCTTTGACTCTTAAAAAGACTTTTATTCCTGTGATATATTACTGTCTTGTAGGAAATATATCGCTGTTACCATGAAAATTTTCATATTTTTGTTTACTGGCTCTTATTAAACCAATGTAGTAATTTAACGCCAACTTAGCTTATACTATTATTATCAGTCTCAGACGTCTTTTACTTCTATACATAAACAAGATACCGACATGCTTTGGCCTTACCAGTGGCCAATTAAAGTCTGCTGACTACTGGTAGTTTGTCCTGGGTTTGAACCCACGCAAACGAGCTGGCTGCGTAGTTGTTTTTTGTGGTTTTGTGCACGATCTAGCTTAAGCAGGTAAGCTGTGTGCTTTGTGATATTCAAAACCTAACATAACCAAATTGTCTTGTATGAGACATAGTTATTTTTTTTTTTTTTTTGAGACTTCTAATATACGTCGGTTGAGAAAATGATCGCTCATTTAAGCAATTTGTGATCATACAATATATGAAAGCAAATATCTGCATTTGGAACATTTGGACATTCAACATTGTCTTCTGCAATTAGATTATAAAATTCTTCATGATTAATTCTTTTTAGTACTTTTTTAACTGAAAAATTTTGACGCATATAGAATATTAGATAGTTCTCAAGTATAATTGTAATGAGTAGTAGAAATGATCAGCTTTGCGAAATGCAGTCGAACCTCTGTTTATAGGAATTCCTTATTAACGGACATTTTGTGAATCCCTGGACCTTTGAAGTAGGCGATCAATGCTTTCCCTTTTAGCGGACTCTCTCTGATAATGAGCAGAAATCTTGGTTCCATGGATGTCTGCTACAAGAAGATTCTATTGTGTTAGTAGTGCAAGTTAATAAATACAAATAAGATTTCTTAGATGTGTAGCACTTTAAAATTGTGAAGACAATTAAAAAAATTATGCTTCAGTTGCAAGTTGAAGTGCAGTATTTACGTTAAATTTAGCTTACATTATCACATGCCTGAAGTACACTAACAGAGATGGCCCTTGAAAAGTAATCAGAATACCGAATTTTACGTGCTATTTCTTCATGTATAAGTTGTTAGATGATTGAGGTAAAGCATTTGAGAGATATTAGTCTAAGTAGAGAAATGCTTTCGTGGCGAACCTTTTAAGAAACACTGGTTTGTATTTATATCAGATGGTGAAATTGGGCAAATCGATAGAAAATAAATAAGGTATTATGTAGCGACGTCCTCACAAGACATACCAAATTTAGATAGACTGCATGTATGAATTCACTGATTTTTTTTGCAAATAAATTTTTACTGAAGGCTTGAGAAAGAAGTTTAAGAAGAATTTATGAGAACTTCAAATAATTAAAATTTTTAATAAGGAATTATAAAATATATGTTGTTAAGTAGGTTTATACTTCAATAGGAGATTGATTATCTCTGCTAGTTCTCAGAACTGAAAATAGTAACAAAGAAATTCCAGAGTTGATTTTATTACGTATGGTACATTTCTTTAGAATTGAGATTTCTCTTAAAAGGTGAAAGTTACTGAAGCTCAGCTTCAGTGGGATCTGACTATGCATGTACACACACACATGTGCACACCAATTAGCTAATTAATTAGTTAATTCAGTCATTCAGTTTGCCACTGGCTGACTTACTGTCTGCCTACTAGCTAGGTAGCTACAGGCAAAAACTGTTGAAAGGAAGTCGATGACTTATAAATATGCAGTCGTTTCATTATAACATCTGTATAATACTATAACTTCAGGAAACAAATTTGATGAAATCTCAACAGTAGCCGATAAACTTTTAAAAATGTCTTCAACATGAAGATGATTAAAGTGATATTTTAAAATTTTAATCAACTGCAATTATGCAAACTCTTCCATTCTCTTTCACTATTATTAAATTCTTGCATTATTTTAAATTTAGGAATAATCTAAAGTACCAGATTAACAACATAAAATTTTGTTAAAAAGCATTGAATTTTAAATTGATCGTTTTACTATTCGAACGACTTAAATGGTTTTGGAGGACAATCTAAGGCGTGGTATCCTCTTCAGAACAGTTTCACTTTGTCTGCAAGGAAGGAACTGAAGATACTTCTTTATTTGCTGCTCGTAGTACTAAACTTTCTGCTTGGACGGTGTTAATCAGAGAGATTTGTGAAGAAAACAGTGAATATATATAAAAATAATTAGATTTTTCTCTCTGTCTTTGTCTAGCTGCGCCATTTATAGTTTTGTGCCGTATATTCCATGGTAAAGCGGACAATGAGAATTTTTGTTGTCACATCCTTCTGTTAATGCCCAAAGTAAAGTGATTATTGGTTAATCCAGCTCTGCCTTTATTATGAAATTAAATATTCCTGTTGTCCAAATTTTCCGTTACCTGAGATAGGGCAACCCTGTTTCTCTGCTCAAAGTCATTTCAGTCCTTATATTTTGCTTTTCAGTTACGTTACGCTGATTCATTTCTTCATTTATATTCCAGGGAAGATAAATAAACAAGCTGTAAATTTTCAAAACATATATATACAGAAGTGTTATGTGTTTATGAATTAATGATGATTATTGTCATCCTATGTATGATTTCAAAGTTTCAACTTTGGGATGGCTCTCGGAGGGAGATGGCAAGACAAAATTACCATCCCAAGAGCATCCCAGGCTGGCTGTATAAGGTTAAGGTCAGAAGATATGGCTGGCCAATCCATGCGGCGAATATCCTAGCTTTCCAGGTAATCGTGGACCAGCTGATGGATTCTATGGACCGTATGTGGATGACCGCTGCCGCCCATTAACAGGAACCCAGGAGCAATTTCCGCCCCTGAAAAGCCGAACATAGAGCCTTAAGATACCCTCTCTATACTTCATAGCAGTCAGCGACACTTTATCAAAGATATTCAGGGGTGTGCACAAGACCAACATAATGTCTACCCAAATCATTACACCTCCAGCGCCGTAATGATCCTTTCCCCTGATGATGGAGGGATGGTATCGTGTTCTAGGATCTTCCCAGATAAACGTACGCTGTGAATTAATTTCCAGGCTTTCTTCAGATAAAGGTACGCAGAGAATCAGTGTCTAGGCTGAATCTCTACTCAACTGGTAAAAAGCACGGTGCTCCACTGAAGTTTGGTCCAAGGCACATGCTGTTTAATGTTTTCAGTATTTGCGTGCTTAATATGTGAATACACGTATATTTTATTATTATTTTTGGTTATTAAAGGCTGTAAAGTGATATGCTGCACAATATTCTAATTAGCTTCTGAAATTCAACGCTATTACACATCTTATCTGCTGTGTAGCCGTAATTACTTTTAATCAATTTATTTTTTTAAAATTAAAGGCTGTAAAGTTGAGCAGTTTAACCAAATTCATTAAGAAATGTGAAATATTTTAAGAAGGTTTTTAAAATGCTCTTAAAGCAATAATATTTCATAGTGTGTACTGTCATGCATGTTATATATATGACTATTATTTTGAAGGTGAAACTGCTGAAGAAGAAAAGGAAGGACTTACCGCAGCTCCCATTATCCTCTGTTTTATGGGATGCGTAGTTATAGAAGCTCTTTGTTTACTCGCATTTCGTTACTGGAAGAAGCATAGGTTAATGCAGTTATATATCTTATTTTTAATATTAATTACTTTGAATTATATTGCATGATTATAAGTAGGGATTCTTTACAATATATGTTTAGTATGTATACAATACAAGTATTAGGATAAAAGAAAGATTTTATGTGTGAGTGTTTTAGTTGTATTTTTCATGCTTAAAATTAAAAAAATTAATTTTAAATTTCAAAATGTCAAATAGATAATTATATTATAAGCAACAGATTCAGATTCAGTGGGTAATTTAGTTAAAAATAGATGCAATAAGGATTATTTGCAATATATATTTCTATAGAGGAATTTTGGCAGATGAGATATTGATTTTGCATTGTTTTAGTTATTTTTTTTATTTTAAATAAAAAAAAACTGATTTTTTTTAAATGCAAAATCGTTGCATTTTTTTTAAAGAACAGTATATAAGAATAAAAAGAGTTTCTTAAAATTTGATTTAAAATTGTTAAAAGGTTTATTTGAAGCTGTCAAAATCTGATTTTGTAAGAATTAATGGTTCTCAGGATAAAATTATTTAAAGTAAAAGAAAAAAATTATCCTCTTTAAGTTTCAGACTTTTTCTCTTAACTGCTGGCACGTAACCTTCACTTATGCATGCTAATCATAAAAATTGAAATATTTAGAAGCTACATAAAACTTTTACTGCGTATTTCGGAGAAATTCGAGTTGCGGTTTTACTAATACATTACTTTTCATATCCCTATAATTCGTTAAAAGCTAAGGAATTGGGAATTAAAATGTCACACCCTTTCTTTGAAAGATATGATTTTAAAGATGCATAGAAATTTGAGCTTCCATAAATATTCTTGTTTGTAATTAATTTAAAGCATAGAAGAAACCGGACCATCTTTTATTCAAACAAGTTTTAAAAGTTTTAGATTTTTCAAGTGAAAAAATTCGGATAAAAAGTGTGCAAATCTGAAATAGTAAAATCTTTTCCTGTGCTATTTGAAATAAACAGAGTCTCTCTCACAGCAGCCGGTTGTGATGTCTATATTTATATACCATTATTATTACAAAATTTAAACTATGATACAATCAACAAAGGATATATACTATGTAGCCTAAAGTTACCTCACACCCTTATTTGTTGGATCTGAAATCGCCAGTTATGTTACTGATAGGAAGCCGGACTTCTATTTGCTATTACTACAGCGCTCACACTTAGACTCTTCAATAAGTTCCGATGCACTGATCGTGGTATTTATTATCGTTATACCTGTTAATGTGGTGAATAGTTGATGTATCTTAGTTAGCGAGTAGGTCTGATGTGCAACCGACGCTGGTGCTCTTCGCAGAGTACTGAAAGGGTAATTGGCTCGGGAGATCGGGACTTAGTGCATTTTTAACGGACCATTTATGCATTTTCACGTAATTGGCTTTGAAACCACGATTTAAATGTGATTGCTATGTAGACAGGACAACTGTTGGACTGATGCAGGAAAAAAAAAACCTATTCCAAACTGTTCCCACAAAGTGGAAAGTATATTTTTTTATCTAAAATGTTTTCATTTAAGTCATCTATCCATCGGTTAAAACCAAGAACAGGTCTAATCCTGGAACAACAACTCCATTTCATTAAACTACCGCCACCAAATATCGCATTCCGTACAACGTAATTACTTTGGCAAGCACCGTTTGTCAAGTATTCGTTGGGTTGACATGTGTTCATTCGAGTCATCATTCCGTTAGACTTTCTTCCACTGCTCCACAGTACAGTTACAATGCTGTTTACATCACTTCAAACCATTTCTCCATTGCTTCGTGCGAACTGTCACCTTGATATCTTGTCAGTTAGTACCTAAATCTGACAGTGGCCTCTCGTTTGAGCTGTGACGGAAGTCCTGTGGCATTGCTGCTAAAGCGATATGACGACTGGCTCATACAACGCGTTACAGAATTCGTCTGTGTCAATCAATCAGGTTCTTGGCCCTAGCAGAGCATTATAAGTAGGTCTAGTGCTTCCATAACGTTTCCGCTTGACAGTGTTATCACTTACAATAGACCAGAGCGCATTTAATTGTTGCGAAATTTCTCTGAAGGAAAGCTTGAATTTATGGGCCTCGACCATACCCCATTCAAACGTGTACAACTCTCACACATTACGAAAGCAGAGAATTCTGGAGCTATTTTGATACAAACGTATTGTACTAGAATTTTGCTGAAAGTGAATTCTGTTTAATTTGAAAGATTTAATATAGAAACTTAATATTTTGAACCCATAACAATGGGTCCAATAAAAAACTGAAAAAAATAAAATAACAAAGAAATAGAGACAGACAAGGCACTTTTGCGTGAGATAAGCTTTGCTAGCTCATTTACACGAAACAAATATCTAGGTAGGAAAGTGAAGATTTAATGAAAGAGGAATACTAGAGGAAGTATTTTGTGAAAGCAAAAGCGGAAACTGAATGTGACTAATTTAAACAAATTGGGAAAGAATGTTCCGGAAAAGGTGGTAAAAAAGAAAATCGTCTGTTAAAATTTTATACTTTAAAGAATGATTTACCAGGCTGCAATTAGTTGACTTATTGAAGAATTTACTATTGGTACTGTTCACATAGTCTTCACAATAAATTTTATTCTGAGGTGTTTATAAAAATCCTTACTTCTGATGTAGTAGGGATCCCTAATAAAGTCTTAAAAATTTAGAAGTATCTATCATTTCTTGAAAATCGCAATGCGTATGTTTTGCTGTGTTGACGTTAGGGAACTTATGTGTTATATGAATTACATTTGTATCAATGTTTTACATTTGTATCAATGATATCTTCGAATCTATACCTAAAATTGATTATTAATTGGGATACGTCAGAATTAACATACGTTTTCAATTCCCTATATCTTTCGATGGGGAAAGTATAGAAATAAAATTCTATGAACGTAGTCTTTAATCGGGGAGATTTCTTCCTGAAATCCGACGGTATGATTACATCTTCTTGACTTACTTATTGTTCATTTCTCATCCGCGTGCAAAAGAACACGATTCAAAATGGACCTCCTGCTTTAATTGTCTGATGATACGATATGATTTAGTCCTGCATTGTTGAAACCGTCTTATTTTCTAGGAAAAACTGAAATATGAGAATGATTTCTATTCTGAAATCCTTTACAGTGAGTTTGTAAATAAACTCTTCCTGTGAGACGTAGTCAAAAGCTCTAGCCACGTCCAGAATGAAGTACTTCTGGTTATTATGTACTGCGGAAGAGATGAACTCCATTATTGGACTAAGTTATATCGTATTATATCCCCTATACAATCCATTGTTTTTCCGGAATTTGCTGGTATTCTTCAAGTAATATACAGTAGAAGTCCATTAGTCCGGCATCCAACAGTCCGAAATGCCCGATAGTCCGGCATCGCTCCGGAAAATTGTAAAAATTTTGGTTTTCTCCAAAAGTGTGTCTTTAAAGCAAATAAAACCGTCGAGAGCTATTCGGAAGTTTTCGGGGTAGTTCGAGATCATCCGGAAGCGCTCGGTATTGTTCGGAAACAATTAGCTGCCGGCTAGTCTCAGCTGTCACAACAAATTCAGGTGCAGTGCAGCTCCGTTAATCAATCACGAAGCGTCTTCGCCATTTTTTTGTGCGTTGTTGTTTTGTGTCCTTTCACATCGCAGTAAACGTAACTTTTGAAACTGTTTATAAAAAAAGTGATTTTCGTTCTAACTGTACAGTGACCATGTTTTCAAAACCTGAGCCTTCGAGTTCAAAAGGAGAGAAACGAAAACACGAACACTGACTCTCAATCAGAAACTAGAAATCATCAAACGGCTAGAAAAAGGCGAGAATAGAAATGTTTTAATGAATGAGTTTAATATTGGTTCATCAACTATTTATGACATTAAAAAACAAAAAGATGAACTAAAGAAGTTTGCTTCTCAATCGGTAACAACTGAAAAATTGGCTTCTAGACAAACATTAAAAAAGACAAACATTTGTTGTACGTATTTGCATACTGTATTTTTAGTTTAATTATTAACCTAATTGTTCTTATAATTACCGCCCGATAGACCGGAATTTTCGGTAGTCCGGCACCGAGTCGGTCCCGAACGTGCCGGATTATCGGACTTCTACTGTACTACTTTTACAACGAACATCACAACCTGTGAATTGGCACTATAACTAATATTCAGAAGATTTTCTTTCTTAGACTGGGATACATCGATTCAATATTTCGATCATCTGAATAGCTGTTCTTTTTAAAGAATTAAGTAAATGACTTTTGTACAACAATGAATGTCTTTGAAAGAACATTTAGAGCTTTTTAAAAAAGAAACATTTGAGACATTGGATTTAAGTTTTACTAACAATTAGCTTCATGCTGATTTCTTTCCTTTATACCTTGGTTCTTCATGTGTTCAGTTCAGAGTGTTATGTAAATGTTACGGCAAGCTGCGTAAAGCTATGTGGAAATCGTAACCGAATAGTCTGAGTAAAATTCCTGTCCCTGGTGCTGCTGCTTGCCTAAAAAAGCCGCTCATCAGAACAGCAGGTGTACGCTTGACACTACTTACGTTTGGTTAGTTTTGAAAGTTAGTTGTGTTTTCTGTCCGACAAGATAATGTTGTAGCTTCGCGCTGAGTCTGTTGAAATTGTAAGCCAGATAATACATTATTGATTAACAGAGAGTCGGTATCAACGAGGAATTGAATTAAATATTTTGGATTCAGTTGGTATCTCACTAATAGTGACCATTAAAGCTTAATTTTGACCCTTACCTTTCGAGTTAAATCTTTTGTCCACAGTAAGTATAAAGGAGAGGCGATAACTCACATATAGCTGAGTAACGTCTTAAAGTAGCCGTTAAATGCAACAAGTAATTTAGTTAAGTAGTTAAACACCTTTAGCTTGTATGAATTTATAAAGAAGCAACTGATCTAATTATTTTTGCTTTATCCGGGAGCATACAATTTTGCGAGAATGACTGGGGAATTTTGATGGCAGATTTGCTTTTCAAAGTAAATGTGTAAATGAAAACGACTGAACTATTGTTAAACCGAATTTGAAAACATTGAAGAAAATAGCATTTTTCAGTATGCAAGGCATTTAGATTAAATAAAAATAAAAGCAAGTTTTAAGGAAACTCTTTATAAATTGGCAATGGATTTAAAAGTTTATATATTTTGGAAATTTTGTTCATGAATACTTAAGTGAAAATCAGCATTCTGAAGCATTTGTTAGACATATTTACATGTAAAACTTTTATTCTTTATTGTAGGAGATCTGAGTTTACTACTCAAGGAACTTTGCAGCTTCAAGCAATTTCTTTCACTGATCCACGCTATATTCAAGGACGGAGGGCTCATGTTATATCATTCATGATCACCCCTGAAATGGAGTCAGTAATCTCAGGTCAGACATTAATTTTTTTAAATATGTTCTTGAAAACTTCATAATGTTCATAATGTTCCTCAAAAAATATTTATTTTTGGTTACGTTTAAGTGAATAACAATTTAAATTTTTGGTTTTCATTGGAAAAGTAACAATCGAATTCACTTTGAAAACATTGTCTTATATCGGAAAATCAGGATTCAGAACGCATGCTGGATGATTTTTCTTACCAGCGTGTACCAGTGGGTAATTTGAATATATAAACGAAATTTGGATTTATCACTAAAAGAAAATTGAAATTATCTGCTAAGAGTTTGGTTTCTTTGATAACATCTTTGTATTGACAATACATGTACGCTTACGTAAAAAATAGTTCAGCTGAGGACAGGAAAAAATATAACAAAGGTATCAGGTTGGTATATAAAGTCTGCTGTGAGAAAAGCAAGATTAACAGTGTGGAATTTTCTCTTTATTCTCTTTTTATGATCTGTGATTACGTTTCATTGAATTATCTGTCATTAAGTCTTCGGTGCAGGATTTTTGTTGCGTGATATGTTTCCATAGTTTTCTGTTTCATCCATATAAAATCAAACGCGATTGTCATGAACACATGTTGCAGTTTGATGCTTTGAAATTCCGTCAGTCTTACAAATATGTTCCATTTCTTTTCAGTTGTATATAGCAATATCTAAAGTATCAAGGTTTGGCTGCTTTGTTCAAGTTTATTACACAAAATACATTTTTTTAACAAACTCTTTCTATTTGTATCCATTCTCTACCTGTCCATATTTTATTGGTCTTTTTTCATTCTTGTATGCTGCATATAATGCTGTGAAAAGCAATAGAATTAATCATGACGTTAGTTTCCATTATTGAGTAATACTGTTTGCTGGTCCAGTTTAAATAATTTAATTGTTTTTGTAATACAGGAACATGCATAATGCTGAATCTAATTTGAATCAAATTGCTAAATTTATTTTCTTAAATTAAAACTGAAATGAATTATCCAACATTTTGGGAATTTTTAAATCTTAATTCATATATTTGTGTTACCCTAATCTCTGAATATGGCTTTTTCTAACGGAACGTGTTTTTTATTGCATCTGATTACATTTAGAGAAGTACCTGATCGTATCACAAGATCATTCATATTTAATCATTTGTGATTAACTGTGTTTAAATATAAGTGGTATCCGTTTGCAGAAATATTCCCCTCCCCCTCGTCTTTTTAAACACTGGCCTTGAGCTGGATTAAGTTTTTTTTTGTGGCAAAGAAAAATAGAGTTTCTTTTTGTAATTGTGTGCCGCTTCTGAAATTCAGCCATCAAGGTGCACTAATAGTTGACTGATTTTATACTGCTACTTTCACAGCAGATATAGCCATTGAATACAGTCTGGGATAAATACTTGATGCGTGAATAAGTTTCTGAAAGAATTATAGCTCAGAATTTTGGATTTGTCAGAATGGTTATCGATCTGCGGCATTTCTTTAATTAAATACTTAGCATAAGCTGTTTTATTCATAAAACAAAAGGTAGCTACTGGATTTTGTGAATTTGAACAGACATTAGTTTATTTTGAAGCAGGAGATGTGAAAAGGAGCAATGCCCTCGTCGGAACTCGAACCACGGATCTCTCGAATACGCGCCCAGTGTGCTGACTATAACACCACGAAGGCATGCTAAAAAGGCGGGGGAAATACCTTATATACTCCCCCTTTTAAAGGGCGACTGGGGATTAGGGGACCCAATGGCCAAATCCTGGAGGTGGAGAATCATCATCCACCACCCTTTTTGTTCAGGCGCCACTGTAGAGATATTAGATTATTTCGAAGCAGGAGATGTGAAAAATGAGCATTGCGCTTGCCGGGACTTGAACCACGGACCTGTCGAATACACGCCGAGTGTGCTGACCACTACACCACGAAGGCATGCTAAGAAGGCGGGAGAAATACCTAACAACTTTAAACAGGATATTAATAGGTGCTAGTGAAATATAAAATTTTTCTGCAACAATCATTTAGTTCAGATGAGTTAAAACTGAACCGAATGTATGCTGTTATTTTTTATTGCCGTTAAATGTATATTCTAAGAAATTTTGAAATCTAATAACAATGTTAAATGAAAATTTGAAGAATTTTTTAGGTTGCTAAACTTCAGAAATCCTGCTAATTTTTAATAGAAGGGAAAATAATAACTTAATAAGTAACTCGGTTATCGATCTGAGCTATAATTCTTCAGAGCTCGGTTATCGAAATAATGTATGTAATTAATTATATAGCTCTTCATAATTGAGTTTTGGGTGTGAGGGGAAAATTTATACTTCTGATGCAACTCAAAGCATATGATATTGATTCGCAGGATTATAAATGTTAAGAAAGTACGGTTTCTTTACACACATGTAGAAAAAGTTTTTTTTGTTTTAGTAGCTTTGAGTGTTATGTAATCTTTTCAACTACACGGTAAAATGCCTGTTATGATTTGTTTTTAGTATAGTTTTATAATTTGATTTCAGCTGCGAGATCATCATCTCCCCCACCATACAGTCAGACTTCAATTGCCGAAAATATGGCTGCACAAGAAGTAAGTGTATACTGTTTCCAGAAAAGGTGATTACAAGTTTAACTTTCTGAAACAATGATCTTAGACTTAAATGTTTCAAGAATTATGCTTTTAGTTTCCACAATGGAGGTAGGATGGTTTCGAATATATAGAATTTAATATTTTATGTGATCGCCTGTGTAGTAGGAAATGCCATTAGTAAAATACTCCTAATAATTAAGACACAATAACACGCCGAACAAATACTAATTCAGAAGTCAAACAGCAAAGATCAGCGTTATATTTCGTTAGCGTTAGTCAGCGTTAATTTTTTTTTCGGTTTTGCAGCTGAGGATGGTGGTTCGTTAAAACCATCGAAACTAGTTCTGTGAAAATTTTGAAAATATAACGCTGATTTTTGTTGTTTGACTTCTGAATTAGTACTCCTAATATTTTAATGAACTCTAGCACATTGATTTCTATATAGTTATATGCAAAATTTTGTGAAAATATTGAAAAACATATTTGCTAAATTTGGTCACATTTCATTGCATATTTTTGTAATTTGTAATTGTAGTTTAATTAAACTGGTGATTAATTAAACTACAAGGGTTGGATAAAAATTCATGACAACGCATCAATCTTACTGAAAAGACTTTATTATCATAACTACAGACTTTTCATATAATCGCGTGCCTATAATGAAGCAAATAAGTATGTAAGAAGATAATTACCTTCTTTCAAATTACTGGAAAGCATCTTACACCATCAGCACGCCTATTTCTGATTATGGCCAGCAACGTCCGCCCTAAAGAATGGACCCATCGCCCTGGTTTTTTTTTTTTTTTTTTTTTTTTTTTCATTACGGCAAAAAAGTTTTAGTCACGCGGACTCAATATTGGATGAATATTGTGGGCATTCCTGTATCTCCCATCGCCACCATTGTTAGAAAGGTCCTGAGTGTTGGCCGCAGATGATGTCCCAGGGGACAAATCCCATCCTCCTCCGTGACAATGGACGATATCGCAATGTAAGCGCTTTCACGAATATCGTGTAACGGTGGTAATGGACCAGCCGCCATTTTAATCTTTTTAGCAGAGGCTGGTGGACATATCCGATATTAGTCCGTGTGACGATAAAATTGAGAATATGAGAGTACTCCTGCGGCGAATTTATTACAGGAGTAGCGAGGAGATTATCCATGCTTTGGAGCGATCTCTGAAGGTCATAAACAGACGTTGACATAATGGTGTACTATGCTTTTCAGTAATTTAGCAGTTCAATGAATTTTGCATGTAATGAGTCTTAATTAATTTTGCTCCACGGGAAGTAAGGTTTTGCGTTTAATTTAGCGTAAGGCTAACAGTTTACTAATTGAAGGCCATATACAAAGTTAAATTTTGTGTTTTCAAAACCGTTTATCCTCAGTGCTGAAATTGGTCTAGGAAAAATTTAGCAGTTAGAAGTACGAATCAAGGATCTGCATTTTAAAAAAAGTAGCGCTCGTAACCATCATTTCTGAACACCTTAGAGAGATCCAATATTAGAAATTATAGTATTTTTCTGATTTTGCTGACTCTTAATGGTATGATTTGTCATCGGTTTAGTTTTTGTTTTTTTAGTCATCGTCAGTGAGTTGTTCCCCAAAGTGTAATGACCTTATTATATTGCATTAAGGTGGTCATTTCAGCAGGTGCATTAATGATTGAAATTGGAATAAAATGCCTTATTAAAATTCAGGCTAAACTACTCTGACTCCAATTTTCTATAATCTCGTTTATATCTTTCTTCTCTATGTCATTAAGGAAAGTGGCTGAGACCATGAGCAATAAGTCGTCAGCATAAGAGATGAACTTAGTACCTTCTGGAAGAGCTTCTAGCAGTAAATTGTTTATCATGACATTCCAGAGCAGTAGAGCACTGCTAGACCCTTGTGGACATCCCCTGTGTATTTCCAAAATTTCACATTTTTCTGCTTACCCCATGCAAAAAACTACGCTTCTGTTTTCAAAGTAATTTTGTATAATTCCGTACAGATGTATTCCTGCCGTAATTAATCTTTTAAGAAGCGACAGCCAGCCAGCTGAATCAAATGCTTTACTAATGTTAAAGAAAATCATTAGAACATTATAGTTTTCTCTATATTTTCTAATGAAGTCAGCTCTTTCAAACAAAGCATCCTTCATTGAGTAGCCATATTTAGAGCCAAAATGATGTAGAAATATGCTCGTCGTTAGTAAAAAAGTAATGATTTTATTTACAATTAATTTATCCGACAGTTTTCCAGAAACAGTTGGTAGGCGTATAGGGCAATAACCGACTCTCTCTTCTGGAATTAAAACCATTCTTACTATTTTCCACTGGAGTACAGATAGTTCAAGGCATTTATTAGTAAGTATCTGAACTAACTGTGGATTAAAAAAACTTTCTGTGCATGACACTAATTTCATCCAAACCTGGTAACGATCTAGTTCTCATTTGTTTTATAGCATTTGGTTAGCTCATTTGTTATTATTTGTATTTAATTTGTTTTCAGTTTTACTGTATGTCAGACAGCCATCAGGTAGATTACAATCGTTTATGTCTAATTCTAAAATCCTGTATGTTTGATCTACCGACTTTTATTCTAATGTCTTTTAATTATTTGTCTTGTAATCTCTGACTTCGAATCTCCGATCAAACTCTGGTCTATAATGCAAGTGATTTGTATTCAGCTTCCCTGCGGCCATACGAAAAAAATTATCAGGATTATCTGTATTACCTAAAAATTTCGCAAATCTTGCCTCTTTTTTTATTTTCCTTATTAATTTTTCATAATTGCTATTTTTTCTTATATTCTATTCTCCTTTTGTTCCGTATACCCGTGACTACATGTATATTCCTAATCTAAAATCTCTTCCCGGCCGCTCTAACTTTCCTCTTCATTCTTTCCAATTGCACATTCTTCCAACTCACTATCCTTTCAACAGTCTTTTTCTTAATTGATTATTTATTTTCCCAATTAATAATTTTCCATGTGCTCTACTAAATTATTAAGATCCTCCTTTGATTCAGCCTCCAAATCTCTTACAGAACTTATTAGTTCTACTGAAATGTTTCGTGACTCCATCGATCTTGTTATCACTAACCACATTTGTGTCCATTTTTAAAATCAAAAATTGGTGGTCACTAATATTTTCTCTTCCGATATTCGTAAATCAAAATTTCCATAATTTATTCCAGATAAAATCTGTACAAAATCCGTGTAACCAGTTCTAATAAACGAATAAAAGGCAGGCAAAGAGTTAAAAGCATTTAACATTTCCGAATTTTATTGCAAGATAAAATCATTTAATAAAATTCCCGTATGGTGATCTAAATTTGCCTGCCCTCATGTAAAATGTTTTTCTATTAAGATCTGAAGTTTTTATAAAATACCGTATCTACGACATTTCTTTTCTAATATTATCAAACTGCACCTAATGCCCTTTGTCGGCGAGAAATATGCAGTAATTATTCCAATAGCTTTATTATCTACCCAGGCAGTAATTGCCACCAGCACGTCCTGTACACTATCCACAACAAATTCAATATTCTTATTTATAACAAGAAAAAACGAGCTCCCTCCTTCCTTATGAATTAGCAGTCTTTTATATTCGCAATTCCATCTTTAATGCAATAGGGTTCCTGTATCAGAATGATGTCAGGGGTCGAGGAAAGTAACTTTATTGACTTCAGAGAGCTAAACGGTGGTTTAAATTGATGCTGAAGATAAACATCAAGTATTCAAGCTTTCCAGCAACATCTAATACAGTGTATAATCAAATCAAATCACTGAAGTACTTTTAAAATAAAAGCCAATTATAGGATGCTCAGGTGTAATGTTAATTCAAAACTAAACATAGAATATTTCACTGAAAATTTAAATTGCAGCATGCAAAACCACAAAAATTCCATGTGCATAATATAAAAACTCCAAAAGTCACTAAAACACTATTATTTATAAAAAATGAAATCAATAAAAACCGTCAAACAATCTCTGAATGGTCCCATATGAATTTTACTTGTCTTTTATACGAGGGTTAGCCTCCCGAGAATCCGGTTTGACTTGTTTCTAAACCTACCTTAAACTTCTTATTTACCTTTATACTACTAATACATTTCAATGCAGCCCAACCGGGATAATGGTTAGCAACGCTGACTACCACACCGAATGGCTCGGGTTCGAATCCCTGTGAAGGCATGGGTGTTTGTAAATGATAAGTGTTTGTACGCCATGGGGGACACTCTAAATATGCCGCGAACCGGAAGTCCCCTCGAGAGGTTGGGGGTAGGGAAAAAAGAGTGGAAGACCTTCTGACCGGTTCCCCCCCCCCGGTGTGCTCTGCATCAGATTTAGGGGCAGAGCTGAGCAAAGTCGTACTGTCTCCTGTATTGTGCTCAAGGCTCTTGCCAACGACAGGCGCAGTCTTGCACTCCTTGCCACGATGAATTTCGTGGGCCTTGTTCTGATGTTACTGTCAAACAAATGAGTAAGTCACAACAACAATAACATGCTATACATTTGATTTCGTTAACTTTACATTCTTTTTTCTCAAAATGGCCCACACATTTTTAATATGCAATTTGATTCTTGCAATTTTTCTTCCTATGACCATACTCAAGACACATCCTTTCTTTGCATTGTACAAATAATTTCACCACGTAAGACTTTCAACCCATAATGACTCTACACTAATCAAGGAATTCATTTTGAAAATTTGAAAGAACCACAGTAACCCGATGAGCAGTACTTGGCTCAATTTTATTAGCTGTTATAAATAAAAATCTTACACCCTCTCCTCCACATACACAGCTTTCTTTTAATCTTTCCATAAACCTACTATTTTCAACATGAAATATTATAAATAATTAATTTTGGTTTTACAAACCGACGCTTAGTTGCCCACACATGATTTTTTTAAATTCTCATTTTCCTGAATAACATTTTGTGATTTTTCAATTTCTTCTCTATTCTTAACATGTACAACCATATCAACGTTCTTCCGCTTCATGATGCCTAAATACCAAAATTTGGCATCTAAATACCAGAAAATAAGCAAAAAAGTATCAAAGTTCACTTGAATACCGCGCAAGCGCAGAACTCGTTGCCGCACAACGCAGACACAGAACCCAATTCCTCGATGGAGGTAAATATACGCTGGTAAAGGCAATGCTTCCATTTAATAATGTCCGGTTGTACGGATACGACAAATTCCGCTTAGTAAAGAAAGAGTGGGGTAAGCGGGCTATTGTAAAAAATGGCCGCTAGGTTGCTCATAGACTGAGAACTTTTCATGAGACTAAACCCAACGAGTTTTTCATTGTGTGTATAGGATTCCTGAATGAGAGCTATGGAGATGTTATCTTCCAAAAATCACTTGGGCAGGATGTGCTGTGGCCGCTTTACAATGCTGAAGATCACTTTGGAGGACACTGTAACTTTTTTTTTTAAGTAAAATTTGTGTTGATATTCTATACCTATCTAATGGTGAGCTTTCTTACTTTGGCGCTTGCTGAATGTGTATTCTTAAATGTCGTGCCTTACGATTTATTTCAAGTATCACAGTTAATGCATTGTGGAACTGCCGCTGTGAACTTATCTGCTTGGTGCTTTTTGTAACTTACACAAGCTAAAAGTGCTTTGCACGCACGACTTAAGATCCGCAGTCTCTGACAACTGTAACAGCTTGGAAACCTGGGGTACTCTCTAAACGCACTGGTACTAAATCCCAGATGTCTTCTGTTAAATTTCGTATGCTGGTCTTATAGTTTCAACTGTATATCAATTATCCAATGGTGTTTTCCATAATTGTATACAAGGGGTTCTTGGGCTGTATCTGATCTGCATTAGCCAAAGGCACAACGTCTAGAAAGACCTGTCGAATATCGTTAAATGTTAGAATGGAAGGAGCGCCAGACAGGATAGTCGTCTTCTTCCTTCAGTTAGTTGTCCGAGTCAGACGGTTTCCGATAATGAACGTTTTTCAATAATTGCTTTATTCGGCAAGTAAATATATGCCCAAATATAAATTGTCTTCTGTAATGGATAATAAAAATTTTGAATAAAAAGTAATGGAAAAATGTGTATTTGAATTAACTTGAATGTAATGATTAAATTGGAAGAGTCGAGTTTATTGTACGGATCTCATTGTTGCTTCCACCAATAATGAAAAAACCTGTCGTAGCGCAAATGGTTTGCGTCATTGAACTTACTATGAAATTCTATATATGGCCAAGTTTTGAAATGGTAGTAGTTGAGTAATTCTGTGCAATGGTAGTAGCTGAGCTATTACAGTAAATCTCAAAGTTTTTGAATTTGTGATTTCATTGCATAGGCATTGCACAATTGTTTCGATATCTTTTTAGTTTACATTCCGTTATTATTTATCTCCCCTGCAACACTACTCCTAAACACCATGCACTTATAAGACATACTCCGGCATAGAAATTGATTAAAAAAAAAAAAAAAAAAAAACTCTACCAGTCACAAAGTTCGAGAACTTAATGATAGTTATGATAATATTTATAACATATCTATACCAAATTATAACTGTGCGTAGCTTTTTTGCAGAGAAGATTTATATAGTTGTTGCATTCTGCAATGACATCTTCATCTTTCTACCTTTTCTGGTCTGCGGATTCATTGACATTACCGGCTTTGTTCGATGAACATATGGAGACCCCCAGACTATCAAATTTACTATTTTTCAAACTCTCATTCCCTTTTTTGTAAATAGCCCTTGTGTGCATTGCTTTAATCAATAAATCTAATCTAATGTAATCTTCTCCATCCATCTCTCTCTATATATATGCGTTTAAAATCCATCTCATACTCAGTTCGGAGCAAATCATATGCAATAATAAAAATGCAGAAGCACAGTGGTAAATTGCATGATAGGTGCAAAAATGGTAAAATCGAAACTGAAAAATTGAAAAAAAGGATGGGGGAAGGAATTTACATTTTTTGCTGTATCGACTTCGGAGGGTTGGTGTCACAAAAAGAGTAAATACATAAGCCTGTTTCTTAACTAACAAAGCCACATATAAAAAATTAGAGTTTAATACTTAAAATAATCTCAGAAAATTAATCAAAGTAATCCTTGTCTTTATAAGTCCAGTCCCTACATGCAGGAGTAAGTAGCGCAAAATACCATCAATGCCATAAACAACGTCAAAATCATAAATAAGCTTAAAAACGTTTAAAAATCTAAATGTTTTCTTTTTGAGCAAATCGAGTCAAAAAAATAAAGCATGTAAATAATAACAATCCAGCACATGAAAAAATAATAACATATTAAAATTTGATACCATGCAGGTCGGAGTGAATAGTGCAAAAATTACAAAATTAGGGCATCAAAACTATAAACAAGCTTAAAAAATTGAGCAGACCGAGATCAAAAGATAAAACATGTAAATACAAGCAATCCAACATAGAAAAAAATAACAACATCTGAAAATTGATACCAAAAAACATACAATAAAAAAAGAAAAGCTGAAAAGAAGAGTAAGTTCTTAAATCTGTAACATTACAGCAACGATTGTTTTGAAATGAAAGAATTAATTCGACATGCCCAGTAGGATGACACTGGTGTTAAGCCTAGCACTTGCTAGGTAATGAAATTAGATTAACAGCAAATTTTAAACTGATCAATAATGTAAAAATAATTAGACAGAACTTTTAACGTAAGATTTGGATTATATGTAAATCCGAAATGCAAATACGATCGTTATATGTTAAGCCCAATTAAGATTATATTAAGCCCAATTAAGATTTCCTTTTTCATTTTTGGTTTTAACAATTTTGCGCCTTTTACGTAATTTAACATTGTGCTTCTGTTTTTTTTCTATTATTGCATATTGTTTCTTCAGAACTGAATGTGGGATTAATTTTTAAACATTTTTTAAATTTATTTTGTAGTATTGCCACCTTAGCGTGCAGCTGAAATTATCGCATTTGTCTGTAGCTCCATCATTCCATCTACATAAGAGTTTCAAGCTATCCTCAGACAACAAGTTATCTACAACGAAATAAATCATCACACACACACATGTATATACGATTTTTTCTTATTATGTATATCTGGCCATGCTGAGATTGAGTAGCCGATGAGTTGATTTCATCTTTATATAGTAATGCTGAGAAATTGTACAAGCAGAAACAAAAATTTCCAACACTAACAATGACAGGTATATATGAGGTTATAATAATGAAACGGCTGCATTTGGATGCCAGCAGATAGTTCAATAACACGTAGTATACCATGAAACATTATAATCTAATGAGCAGCTCATCAAAGAAGTGTTTATTATGATTTTAATTTAATAGAAAAATATAAGCTGCTTAAAAAGTTCAGTTTAATGTTTATTTCTATTTTCAGTAGACATTTGAACTTTCTACTTGAGAAATGTCATAGATAGTTTTCTAAATGTGAATTTATATTTACTTCCGGTGTAAGAAAATTTGAAAATTTCGACCAGACAGCTAATAATGATAAAATTTATTGTTTAAGTATTCTAAATATTTTGCGTGTACATTCCTGATAGAACTATTTTATGATTATTTTGATCATAGTGCTATTGTTAATATATTTATTGTCATGTCGATGGATAATGTCGTTTATTTCTTAACAAAAGAAAGCATTTATATTCCGTGTGTATGGGATTATGGCAAAGCCTCGAGGGTTATCTGCCTGAGAGGAGGGGTGCCTTCGTGGAGGACTTTCTAAGGGAAACTGGCTCGTATACACGTTACACATGGGGGAAAACCACGAAAACGCGCATGCAGCCAGCCCGATCGCGGGATTCGAACCTCGAACCGAACTACCAGTGTTCAGCGATTTTACCGCTCGGCCGCTGGTAGGCAGAAAGCATTTCTGTAAACATTTAGGGGCTAATTCAGAGTGAGTTCATTTATCAAATAATTAAAAATGAAATTTCTTACTGATAAATATGTTCATCTAAGTACCTGAAAAAAAAATGCTTACTATGTCACAAAGGATTTTGTCATAAATATTCTTGCCTGTTAATGTTTATATATAAAGCAGCTTTTGATAAATTAAAAATAACTATTTCCTGTATATTTTTAATGTGTTGCAGCTAGATAACTTGCTATGAGAATTTTATCCTTGAATCAAATAACTTGAATACTTCTGAAGAAGTTTGAAAATCTTGTTCTCACAGTTTAGATGTATTTATTTATTTATTTATTTTTTAGGAACCACCACCTCCGTATGAAGAAGCCATTAAACAGTGTCAGAGGTCGAAAACGTTTGTATTAGAGGAAAAGAAAAGTCAACGAAAAATGTCTTGTTGAGAAAATGCCATGCATTGTATTTCATTATTTGGACTGATGTTTGGTTAAAGCCTCAAATGTTATTGTTCATAATTAATAATGATGTTTGTTTAAAGCCTTATATGCTATTGTATTCTCTTCGTAACAACAAACAGGAAGTGTCTTTATTAAATGTCCTCTCTTATTATCAGAGAAGATATTTTATTCATGCATAATAATAGAAATTTTTGGCTGAGGATATTATTTAGTATGCAAATGTTATCAAAAACGTATTTTTTCAGTGTAGTTGCGCATTATTAAATTATTAAATTTTATTATTTAAATTTTATATCAATAGGAGAGAAACAATTTATATTCCTTTTCTTGTACAAGCATCCTTAAATAATTGAATATTTTGTTTAACTTTTGAGTGATGCAATTATTGTCATAACTATGCTCATTACAAATTTTAATCTATCATTTCGACGACTGTAATTGTGAATTCATGAAGGTTTACAATTGTATTAAAGTATTCGAAACATAAAATATAATGCTTTTGGAGTTCATGACTGCATTTAGTAAGAGTTATTTCCAATGGTATGTAACCTGGAAGTTTGGTTAAATAACTCTCAAAACGTATATTTGTTTTTAATGCTCGGTTAATTCTCCTTGAACAAAAACTGGGTAAATATTATATAAATGTCATATTATATTATTAATAGCAGTCATATTATATATGAAATTCACTATTTTGACTGCGGACTATAGGCTTTTAACTACTAAACTTGAACGGGAACATAACAAAGTTTAATTACTTTTTAATATACTTTTAGAAATTAAACCTATCTCTGTATGTTCATTAGTTTTATTTTAAAGTAAAGTTATCAATAATTTTCTATGAATAACTGGTTACGTAAAATTAGGCAAAAAAGTAACTTTAATGTTGATGTAGATCTGAAATGAAACTCTATCGATTTCGAGGGCTATATGAAATCGGGTCCTCTTCTTTCAGGAAAGGGGGGAAAACAATTCCACAGTTGTGGGTGGTAGCGTCAGAGGCAAATTTATAACGAAATCAATGGGTAAAATTTGCTGTTCGGGTCTTAAAAATCTTAAATCTGATTTTAATTCTTGAGAAATTTATATCATCTATGGTTGGATACATTGGCCAGATTAAAAAGAGTATTAAAATCTCTTTGTCAAGAAACATGAATAGTATATTCGAAAAAGGTACGTAAAGATGCCAAAGATTGTGATTTCTGTGCTGTAGTTTTGATTTTTGTTTGCTGCTAAAATTATTCAGAAAGCTTCTTCGCATTTTTAACTAAATTTCCTTGAAGACTTTCACATTAAAAAAAATATGTTCTTAAATTAATTTCGCTCTATTTTTTCCAACATTTGCAGTGTGCTAATATTTCACCTTTTCAATGTTTAATTAAGGTTTACCTTAAGGAATGATGTCGCTGCGTTTATTTTATGTTTGCTCCACTGATTTTGCTATATATTTGGCTGTTTGTCTCTCCTTTACAAAAATATTTTGCTCCTAAAGAAGAGAGGGCCTGTTTCATATTCTTCTGAAAATCTACAAAGTTTTATTTTAAAATCTTCCCAGTCTAAGGTTGCTTTTTGGTCTAATTTTATATTTTAAATTAGCATTTTTCACTTTCAGTTATATATTTGAAAGTGCTCTATAAGTATATATGATTTAACCATATTAGTTACGCACGTAATTTTCACTGTACCAGTAAAAGATAAATGTTTTGGTTTAGTTGATTATGGTAAACCAGGTTAGGGCTATCTGCCTAAGGGGAGGAATGTCGAAGGATAACTGGCTCCTATACAAGTTACACATGGGGAAAACCACGAAAACGCCCATGCAACCAGGTCGGTCGCCTGGAATCGAACCCAGGTTGGAGTTAGCAGTGTTTAGTGATATTTTAGCGGTCGGCCGCTGGTGGGCTAAACAATTGGTGTAATACTAATGTCAGTATTATGTATAAAACGTTTTAAGACTCATATTTTTTTAAGTAAAAAACTTCACTTAGTATACACGAAAGAGACACTAACCAGTATCAAATATAAAATTTGTTAAAATTCAACCTTGGATTAATTTTCTTTCTACAGAACGGTTTCGTTAAGTTTTCTATAACACCAACGACAATTCAAAGTTGGTTTTTATCTAACTGTATAGTGCACTTGTTGTCAAGTTTTTATTGACATGTTTTAATCATAGTTTAGTTCTTTGGCTTGTCATGATGCGCGATCATTTATGGAGATAATGTTTCATGTTTATCATGTCATGGAGCTTCCTTTATGTTCATTATGTAATGTTACATATATCTGAAAATTAGTCATCTTTTTTGAATGTGTTGCTGAAATTATTAAATGCACAAAGTAAGTTAAAGAATCGTCGACAGTGGTAAAAATAACAGTAGTTCCTGACTATTCGTATCGCAACCGAAAATTTGCCAAAAGGGTATTCACGAGGCAAAGCAATTGCCAAAATAGTTATGTGGCAACCCATGATGTTGCCAAAAGGTCAAAAAGGTCAGCAAAGAATCGCATCCAAAAAGTTTGGCGGTTTTTCAAATCAAAACGCATTTTCTTCTCATCATCTATTTTCTGCTGGTAAAGAGTGATCCTGATTGAAGCGGATATTTAAATATGGACGTTTCTGCTCATGTTGCTTGATTCTTGCATGTATTGTTGTGTAATATTTTTCCCATTGTGGTGCTAGGAATGAAGAACGCAAAAGTTCATTTTCATCATACTATGCTCTTTTATTTTAAAAAACGAAACAACAGTGCTAGTCAGTTTGCTTTGAAAATTTGTGCTACATATGGACGAAGTGCTGATTTTGATGGCACGGTTTGAAAGCGGAAAATTCAAGCGTGGAAATTTCAGCTTCAAAGGTGATTTTCATTCTGGATGACCATCCAGTGTAAAGAACCTGTTCAAAGGAGTCGTCACCGAAAATTCATGTCATACAGTTCAGGAACAATCAGACAGTCTATATATTCCAAAATGTACAATACGGGATCATTTGAAGAATATTTGTTGTGTAAGCTGCTGCGAGCAGTATATGCTTATTCGAATTTTGGCATGCGATTCTTTGCTGAAAAATATAAGGAAGCTCCTTTTTTGAAATTTCTCATTACGGGAGATGAGAAGTAGATACTATACAATAATACTGCAAGAAAAAAATCATGGGGTATGCCAAAAGAATCTCCTTTAGTACCACCTAACAACGTTTTAAAAAGAGGAATTTTCCACCTGTCAGAGGGCTGATAAGAAGTCGTAGAACAAAATAGCGCTTATGTGGTTCAATGAAATTTGCTAATATTTTGTGTACTGGGTTATTTGTATTTATCATAAAAAAAAACGCAGAACTTACCGGATGACCCAATATATATGTGGCAACTAAGGCATTTGCTTAGCGTATATCTGCTTTAAGCCGTACGCGATGCCAAATTCCATGGACGCTGAGTTTGTGTAATTCTCTGAATTTTTTTAAGCAAAAAGAGACCGCTGCGTACACTGGAAGAACAACAGCCCAAAAAGGAAGATTCATAGAACAAGGTTAAGTATTTTATTACCGATACTTCTGGCTTTTTAAATTTTATTGATTAATTGCTCTTCTATGGAATTCTTAATTCGCTTTCATTTTGACAATGATGTTGCCTTTCGCGCAATATCTTGGTGAAAAAATAGTCGCCATTGAGTTCACGAATGCTCTACAAAGTCGCCAACGAGTTTGTGACATTTTGGTGGGGGTGTGAGTAATCAGAATATATCAAGTTAAAATAATTAGATTAATGGATTTTATTCTCTAATTTATTCTTTGCTTCATTTCATTCATACGAGTGCAAATAACATTATTTTTCGTCATAAATTAGCTACTGTATGCTTGCATGATTACTCCAGCTTATAAGCTTAAAAGGTGAATAAGGTATAAGCCATTTTGAGACTTATGTACAGTATAACTCATTTTTTTTTTCGAAAGAAGAAATGATTTTGAGTGTAACAATGTTAAGTTGTTTATTCTTTAAGAGCATGTCATTTTCTCCAGTTTTTTATTTCATTTAGTATATTAGGCATTTAAATGCATTTTGTTTTAGTTATGTCTCTACATAAAGAATTTATTTCCGTCATAATGGGATTTTTGAATCATGAAATTCATAATTTTAATTTTCTTTTGTTATGAATTGGTCTGTTTAAAATATTATTAACTGCATCTGTAATACATAACTTTGTATGTAAAAGTTTTGTCATTTGTTAATGTTACTTTCTGAACAATATAAAGCCGAGTTGTCGGTGCCTTTTGTATAATTTATTGATTTTAACTTTCCTTTAAGATTCTGAAATTGTATTTGCTATGTATTTATTGTTGGCGTCTGCTTCTAAACACTATGTAAATAATTAAATTTAGTTTAAAATATTATATTTCTTTTCTCTATTGTGTATTTTTTACGTGGTTTTCAGCAAAATATCAGATTTTATAGCTATTAGCTCATTGTCAGTTTTCGTTGTTTGTAAGTATAATATCACACATTAGCTACAAATAAAATAAACGTGCGCTATAGACACTGAAGACATATTTATTTAGATCGACATATTTTAGGAATTCGTAGTGTCCTCTTATTTGTACCGAATGCATCTTAACTTTACACCATAAGTAATAATAGATATTGCGCTACGAACATACGTTTGTAATACATGCCATAATTTCAAAATGATCGTCGTGGGGCTATCTTCAAACCAGAGGTATATAGCCGTACTTCTGTGACACACTGATTGTGGTTAGAACCATCATAACCGATCAGTCTTAGCTCTCAGTTCTGTTGTTAGAGCTCGTAGCAGGAGCAAGCTAGGATCATAATAGAGAATAAATGCTCCATAGCAAGGCCAGAGCGAGAAAATTTTAGTGCAATCTTTCGTTAACTGGGCAAGCACTTATTAGTAGTAGGAAGAAGAATGTTTGGGCAAGATGCCAGATAAACCATATCTGACTTACTATACGAGAGTCGCACTGAAATTTTTAAGCTGCAGCTAAATGGTACTAATTAAACTTACCAAATCTTAGGAGTGTTCAAAATACTTCCCTCCAATAAGAGTGCTTTTTAGTAGGCGAATATTCCAGAGATTAAACGTTTCATGCCATCCATTTCTTGCACCTGGTGAAAAATATACTTTTATAGCCTCATCAGTTTCATCTTCGAATTTCAAAAGACTGCCACGTAAATTTTGCTTTAAATTAAAAAAAGCAGCCTAAACTCATTTTGCAAATAGCTGGATCGGCTGTTGCTAAATCGAAAGAACTGGATGGAAGGTTCTATCACACTTCGTGTTTTTGTTCAATAAATTCGACTCTCATCTTGCTGAATAAGAAAATAAATTATCATGGTGAAGCACGAGTCCTTTAGTATAAACGTCTTGACGAATATCTTGAGGACATCTAATGGTGTACCAATTAGCTGTAACTGTCTTCTATCTCTTAAACTTGATGGCTTTGGCCAGTCCTGTACTCTGAAGGAAAACGGAATACATTAATGTTTTCATTGCTCGTTGTCTTTTCACCATTGTTAGTTTGGGGTCACATTGAAGGACACATAGTTTGCTTTCTTAACATGGTGGAACGTCAAAAAAATATGTGCCATTCTAGCACATCACAATTTATAAGGTTATAAATAATGCAGTATCCACCATCATTTAGTAATTTTAGGGTGTCTTTATTGATTCTGACGCTCTCCTCGTTTCAATATTCTGTTAAATTATGGGGGGGGGGACCCAAATACAAATTATTTTTTTCATACACAGTTCTTCATGAATAATTTTATATATAACTGCGGATCCAATGTTGAGTTCCATCTGCATCATTTGGTAGGTACAGCGATTATCATTGACAATTTTGGTTTTCGTATAGCCGACATATAATCTAGCGCTACAGCTGACAAAGAACTTCCTGTGTATTAGTCATACAAAAAAGAAATTTGCCGTCTACGAAATTCTGTAAACCATCTGAATACAGTGGCACGAGATAGATCTTCATTTCCATATGGTAACTGCAAACGTTGAAGGCATTCTTTTTGATTTAGTTCCACTTTAAAATTATAGAAAATTACAGCGATATAATGCTCTCACAACAGCTCCATTTTCCGTTCTTTCAAAGTTTATACTATGATAGTTAAATTGCAGTTGTTGTCACAAGTTATGTCTGTGGCCATAAGAATTTACGTTCTAATAAATAACTTTTAATGCATTTTTTAATGCATAATTTTTAATGCATCTTTCCCTGTCTAAAAGATTTCAGAGTTACCAACGTAATTATTATTAGCAGTCTACCACAAAGAGCTTTACACACTTGCTAATTACGATCATTATATATTTTAGCAAAAATTTGCGTAAATAAGTTTTTAGACATGGATATAGAATGCTGCAGATTATTTATGTGACAAAATGCAGAATGTTATTGTTTTTAACAGTGCAGTTTGTGTAAGATACTCTGTCTTCAAGAATTCTGTAATTTTTTAACTTTACAATTTGATTCAGTTGTATATTTCTCGAATTCTAGTCTTTGCGTGCAAAAGGTCAACCAAATTAAACGTAACTGATATAATTCCTTTCTTAGATAAATCGGTTAGTTTTACTTATTTTTGTTCGAAATTTAAATTGTATAGTATTATGTTTTGCTAGAACGGCATCGATATTTATAGAAGGCTAGAATGGTGTATGCAGTGAATAAAATTAATGTCAAATAAAATAAGTAATTTGTGTGTGTTATTTTTATTTACAGTATGCATTCTGTGTTTATTAAATCATGAAAATCAGCAAGAGGTTATGTGCCCAAAACCAATGTAGTCTTAAAAAACTAGACGAGAACAATGCGGAAACGTTAAGTGTAGACAAAAACATTAGGTCTAATTTATTGCAGCTAATAATTGCATACTAGAAATTCTTAGAAAAATAGAGGCTAAAATCAGCGTTCTTTTTCTTCATAATCCTAATATTTTGCAGTAAGTGTTATTAACGGTGACGTAAACCTCTTTTCTGGTCATAAGTTATGATAGTAATACGTTTATTGATGCATTATCCCAATTAAGATTTAAACTTTGTTAAAAATTTACTTAAAAGTGGTTAAGACTCCGAAAATAGGTTTAAGGTTTCAAATAAATAATTAAAACATTATGTATTAAATCCCAAGTGAAGTTATTAAGCTGTATTGTTAGGAAATTTATCAGTGGTTAATTACTCATTCTGAGAATATTTCAGAAGAGGATATTTGAAACTGGAAACTTCTGAATATTTATGACACATGATGAGTTTTTTAATTTATTGATTCACATTACTTCCTCAATGTGATTAAAAGAAAAATAAGGAAATTTAAGTAGAAAAAAATTTAGCCCGTTTATATGCAAAATGCACAAAAAGTAACGCTTCTATAAAAACCGAAATATAAACACAGCTGAGAAAATTAAGTACATTTTCTATGAAATCGAATCTGACATAGCAAGACTTGTTGGATATTGTGTTACATACAACAGTCGAATGATAAAAAAAAAAACAAATTCTAAAGACGATCACACATTACTTTAAATTATATAGGTATATAAACATGTTCTATTAACAGATATGTAAATGCATTGTAATGTTTGCTTTTTTTCAACGATGTTAAAGGCATTTAGTACTTATGATTGATGAAAATAGTTACAATGGATCATCAGAAAAAAGGTTATATTCAAAATGATTCCGTCCCGCTTAGTTGGTTTAAATCTAGATCCACCACATGCATTTACCAGTGCCAAGTTTCAAAATTGTATTTTGATCTTGGTACCTTTATCAACAGTATAAAATGTGACTGTTATTTATTGAGTTTTAATACCATCTAACGAAGCTTTTGATATGTTTAATAATGATTTAAAAGTGAGATACAGACGGATTTTTATTAAACATCATAAAAAATCACTTAATTACTAGTATATTCATAAAAATACTTAATTATCCGTTGCTTAATGAAATACGTTATAATTAAATAATAAAGTATGCACTGCTTTATCCTGCGTAACCTCAGAACAGATCTAAATCTAAAAATTCATTATGCTGCACACGTACCTATTCACGTTATTAGTTGAAACTTTTCTCAACATGGTTGAATCAAGCTGCAATACGAGAAAAAGAAAAAAATAATCACATCACTGTTTCTCGTAATAAATCTCATTCATGTTAACATTGATTCATGAGTGTATTTCATTGGATACAAAATCATTTATTCATTTGATAAAGTAGCTCAATACAATTATTACATGCTCCAACGGCTCATTTAACGCCGTCTATGTTTTTCACTTGGATATTTTTCTACTGTGACGACTCTAATATTCCTCTTTCTTTTTTTGTAAAACCAATACTCAATGCCTAAAGTAAGCAATGCCAGGACCACTCCTATAAAGATGACAATGAAAACCCCACCTAAAAAGAAAACACATTTTAATATATTTATCTTAGAAATGCAGTTATAAGAATCAAATATCCAGTTTCTTTACCAATATTCGCAATGCTTATCCCATCGCTTTGTTGTTCACTATCATCACATTCAACTTTAGCCGGATTTTTATTCCACCATTTTTCTTTTAAGCCTTCTAATTTTCTTTGGTTTAATAGCTTCAAAATCCTATGAACAAAATCATATTGTAATGCTAATATTAGAGCTATTCGAGCACACAAATTACTGAATTTTTTAAATGTATAAGGAATGTTTGATAAATTGTCAATTATCTGCTGACATTATACTTGAAGATACGTTTTTGAGAACGGAAATCTGAATTTATTAGGATTTCATGTACACAAATATTTAGAAAATTCCCTTGACAGAAATTCTTAAGTCGGTTTGTATTCATATATGCATACTTACGCGCTAGAAAGCTGATCTTTAAGAGGGGAGCCCTGCTGAACTGCTAAGGCTAGAGGTTTCCGACTGAATTCACTTCCGACAGAGGTGAGTTCGCAATTTGTCATCACAGCATACTTTACTTGGGTTGAATCAGCTGTTTAACGGAGGGAAAAAATATTGGTTTTAGTAATATATTTCTTAAGGGGAGTATACTACAACATTCTTCATATTTTTGAATATGACAGAGCTGTTTTAATAACAATGGTGTCTGATTTTTAAATATAAGAAAAAATCACTTTGATTTAATGATGGTGCTGATATAATCAAATTGGAAGATCAGGGTGAAACATCTCTTCAATATGAAAAGGAAATAACAGAAGTAGCAAAGAAGCAGTATATGCTTTTTTTTTGCACAAATAGAAATAAAAACATATATTGTGTATCTTAAGGACAGTGCAATATTTATTGTGCTCAATGCAAAAGTCCCGTATTTACTTGAAAAATATAAGAAATAAAAAATATAGGCGAATATTTGCTGACAGCGGGGTTCTGATTACAATGAAAGGCAACTACCTGACTGAATACAATATTTTACTAAATTATAGAAAGAAAAAAAGGAAAAAAATAATTGAACATTAGTACGTATTTGTTTTCAGGCATACCAGTAATCAGATTATTGGATGCAGGACTAAACTGAAATCGCTCAGCTAGCCTGGCTATTACAATTAGTGGTAGTTATGCAGTTTATATATAAAACTATGTGGTTTATTTAGTACTTAAACTGCGTATTTATTCCATATTACGTGATAATTGAACTCTTTTCTCTCTTTTTGAAGTTTGCTTTTTTGAAATACCCGATATATTGTCCAGCTTTGCGATTTCACATACGGCTGCAGTAAGTTAAACACCTACATTTGATGAATACACAATTAATTTTTTCCCAATTCTGTACAACATTCAACACTAGTAAAACACATTAACTCTTAATTCATTCTTATTCTAATCATCATCACTTTCGTTCGTTCTTTAGCTGGGGAATAATTTTCGTCATTTTATTTTTCATCACCGCGTGCTTACGAACTCCTGACAACTCAATACTGTTCAAGTTGGTATGAAAAACAATTTTCTGAACATTGCTGAATGAATAAATAACAAACACCCAACTGTAAGACTCTAGCAAATTTTATAACTAGAAACATAGCAAAAAGGGAGCTATAATTTTCTAGTAGATACAATATTTATTATTACCGTGTTGGATCAATTATTTGCCAATACTGGATTTTATAACTGTTCAATGCAATCGAACAATAAAATTTTGCTTTAAAAATGATATAGTTTACAAGAGACTATATATCAGAAGGTTTCCGTATAATCTTCTGAAACCTAATCTAATCTTAAACTTAAGAAAGTACAAACTGCCAGTTCTGATGAATGAACTGGTCACGGGATTACAACATATAGTGACATGCGGGTCTTTGGAAAGAGATCATCCACGACTTGCGTGTATGGTACTGCAATGTAGCTTCATAGCACACTTATGACTATTCGCATTGACGGATATAAATGGCACGCCTTGCTTCCTCGGTATGTGTAATAAAAATGTACTATTCTCTTTCTTATTTTCATTTCAGAATGGGGAGGAATATTTGCGGGATTCTGTATACGGGATGTCCCAGGAAAAGTTTGACGTATTTCATCTAGCATACATAAGAAGAGAAGATGCAAAATGCCATTGGAATGTTTCCTGTTTGATTCAGGAGATATGTGACTCTAAATTTCGGTGACATCTGTTCCGACCAGGTGGATGAACAGATATCCGTGGTGTAGTTACTAGCCTCCAGTGTGGGATAAGGGGTAACAGATGTATAGACTAACATCGCAGTTGAACGCCAACTACGGGACAACAATACTACGGGAGAATATCACGAATACGGGATAAGCGAAAGCAAACGGGCAAAAATAAGAGGCTTCAGGACACGCATTTGTAACTAATCATAACTGAAATGCGAAATCAAAGGTAATTGGTGAGTAAACACGTGAATTCTTGCAAGAAAAGATGATGAAAGATATCCATATATCAATCAACAGTTCATGGACGTTTAAGTAACACATCAATTTTCACTTCTATACAATTTTATTAAACCTCTAATTTGTGTTTGATTATCATCCAGAGTTAAAAATCGCTGTGGTATTAAATAAGCGCGGCTGAAGGGCAACAGAGCTTTACAGTGTGTGTAGTAATTTTAGGTTGAATCAAAGATCGTGCGGGGTTCTAGAATAACTCGATTTTCAAGAGTGTACAAATATATTCTTTTAGTTAGATTATTGCAGTTCTCAATAAAAAAATGAGAGATTTGGTAATCATATGTAAATTTTAGTAATGCAATCACTAAAAATTTGAGAAATTTGAAAATTTGGATGATTTCTTTAAGAAACGTTTATATACAGAGTTTTACTTTCATAAGGATGTAAAAACGGAACTACTAGTCAGAGTGACCTGAAATTTGACCTGAAAATACATGATACAATGAGAATTTGTTAATTAAAATACGTGAATAAAATTTATAATTACGTCAGATATAGCAGATCAGATGTTTTTATTATTATAGCTTCAAGATAAAATTTTAATAATTATCTTATTATGTTACGTTTGATTTATTTAGAGTTGATTAAACTTTACACACATATGTTCAATTTAGTTAATTTCCAAAATTTTGCATTAAACTGCCGTGTTGTATCTTGAATATTACATAAAGATTATGTAGGGTAAAAAAAAGTAAGTAAACTAATTTGAAACATTATATATATATAAACATTATTATAAATTTATTGGTTTAGCTTTATTTAATAGGATTGTGATGTTTAAATTTACACTTATTTAAAATGGTCTTCCTTATCTTTCATTTCACTTCCGATAAAACATTTAAGAAGCTGAAAAAATGTTTCTAAGATAAAATTTTAGAGCTCTTATTTAATCAAATATAGTTTATGTCGAATAGTTTGAAGCAAACCGGAATTTTAAGGCTGAGCCGTGTTATTTTGTTCAACATAGGTATTACGTCAATTGCTATACTTATGACACATCAATATTTTACACACTGTTAAGTCCTTATTCGCGATATAAGATATGAACCGCTTACAAGCGTAACATGATTTACATTTTTAATATTAATTGTATGGCGGCGCATGAACACTGCAAAAATTCATCATAATATAATTGAATATTAATTTTAATCACTAACAGCACGTTATGTACGGACTGCCTACACACCTTTTCTCAAGACTGACTGTTTAGAGGAAAGTTAGATGAGAAGAAAGTATAAATTGTCTGTGAAAAATGGGTTTGTTTCAAAATCAATTTATGTACTGTGTATCACAAAAGGTGCTTCAATAGTATAGACACTATTGATTAAAACATAGAATGGTAAACATTATTTGATAAGATATAAAGCTTTTACATTCTCTCTTACATGACTATGAATGCGTAATTAGCAACCCTCAATCCTTATATTAAATACCAGTCTACATCTAGAAAAAAGCAACGGCACTATGGGGCATCGAAAAGTTGTAGCGGGTGAACACACTTAAGTTTTAAAATACGAAAACGAGGCAATTTCTCAAAAAGAAAAAGTTAAGAATTAAATAAAATTTTATCTTACATATGAACTGATCTTAATGTTTAAAAATCGGTTAGTTTCTTTTTATTGTTAAAAATACATTCAATCCCTGTCATGGCACATATTTTTAAATAAAACCATTATTATTGTTTCTGCTTTTCGAAATTTTGAGGAATTTTTTTGTTTTACCTATAAAAGCAAACCCTTCTTGTGAGCCCTTGGACATCAACACTTTTTCAATACCCTTCTCGAAAGTCTTGGGCATTCCAGTTTCTTTCATGGTCCACCAAATTTTAGTGTACTTGTCACTTACAGGGTAGTCCCATACCGCTAGTTTAGCTCTTTCTGTTTCATTCAAAGAGTCATCTAGCGACATGTTTTTCCAAATTCTAGAAAGAATATCAGTGAGAGTTTAATAAAGTTAAAAAAAAACATAAAATTTTGCTTTTTAGAATTTTATGCTAGTTAAGGTTGGAACATGAAGCACATGTATTGTAAATTGATTATCCATTATGTTATTTGGCCTCCGTATTCCTAACAATCGTCTTCTGAGAATGAAAATTAAAAATTTCTTTTCGGTTTTATGAAATAATTTTAAGATGATATTTGATGAAATATTAAAAAAGTATTATCATACAAAAACTGATACAAACAGCTCAGGTTTATGAAAATGATATTCGCATATATCCACCTGCAGCAACATTGAAGGTCGGAGGAAAATATAATTCAAGAAAAAAGCATGGTGATGTGTTTTTACATTGTAATGTAATTAAAAATTTATTGTAATGTAGTGATGGTAATTTAAAGTTCTAATTTCCATTTCATTTCTGTCACGTAAATTTGATCATTATATTGTCAGGCTGAAGAAAGAAATTTAAAGTGTAGTATTAAACGCGTTAAGCTCCATGAACTGTAAACTGAAAAAGCTGTACATGAATTGTAGAGTCATTAGGATAATTGGAAGCCGGAAAGATGAAAAATATGCAATCGCCTTCGCCGGGAATCGAACCACGGACCTTTGAAATACCGGCTCAGTGTGCTGGCCGGCACGCTAGCAACTCTCAACTCTGACGAAGACACGCTAGGGAAATGGGAGAAATACTTAATAGAATGACATAAAAATTATTTTACAAGGAAATAGATTTGGGGACGATTTATTTGAATTTACATGGAGTTAATAAAAGAAATATTGATCACCATCGGACATTTATCGGTTATGAAATTTTGGGTTTGAAACCTCTGTACATAGTCTTAGATGTGGATGAGTTTGGTGTTTCCTCAAGTTAAAAAATTCTCTGGCGATTCAGACTTGTGTTGGAAAGTAGAGGTTATTAGGCACTTAAGAAATGGAAAGGAACGAGGTAGCTGCATGTTTATAAATAGATGTGAATCACTTACCTGTTTCATTTTTCCCGAATTCGATCCAAAAGGTGCCCCATTTTTATATTGCATATTTTTTTGGGCCTTATAGATTTGTAAATACGAAAATTTCGTTAAAAGTGACATTTATTAAAATTATTTTAATTAATTATTTTATTCAAATTAACATTTGTAATATTTTTAAGCATTTAGAGCAATTCGTTTACTACAAATAAAATAATAATATTTTCCTTGGAAGTTGTTTTTTCTTCCCACATGATCACCCGACAGGGAAGTTATATTCTTACGGTTGTATGTATTATGACCTCGCTAAATTGTAGAAATCAGTTATTCTGCAGGTTATCTAGCTAATCTGCTGATTAACTAGGGTGATCCGTTTAAGTGCGGAAAATTCTGACCTAGGTAAATTTATCAAACTACCTAGATCATTGGTTGGCAAACTCATTAGTCAACAAAGCCAATTATTAACAGTTCAGCGATTGAAATTTCTCCTGAAAGCCACATTTTTTAAGCTTAAATTATGTAGGTAGGTATATTGTTATTCACTTAATTAGGGTACCCTTACGCTGGCTTTTACTAAGAACGTCCTAAATCTGATCAAAATACGTTTTCTGAGGTCAACCCTCTTCCAAGTCATTTGGCTTATATATTCATTTATATCAACACTTGTTTTATATACTCGTTAGGTGTACCATCTTTCGTTTGTTCTCTCGATATTTACAAATCACCTTAATATACCTTTCTCATCTCTCAACACTACATCTTTTTTTTTCACTCCATAACACTCCCTAAAATTAACTTAATACTTCAATTTTTATGGCTTAGTTTAAACTATATAGGTATGTTGAATAAAACTTGATATTGCACTGAAGAACGGTACTATTTATTGATAAAATAAATTTGTAAGGTTCTAAAGACATTAGGATTTTTTGGAAGCAGGCAAGACGAAAAATTAGCAACCGCCTTCGCCGGAAATCAAACCACGGACCTCTGGAATACCGGCCCAGCGTGCAGAACCATTACACCACGAAGGCACGCTAGGAAAGAGGGAGAAATACCTTATATACTCCACTTTTTAAAGGGCGACTGGGGCCTTTAGGGGACCCAATCGCTAAATCCTGAGTGAGGAGAATCATCATCCAACACCCTTTTTAGTTCGGGCGCCACTATAGAGACATTAGGATTTTTTTGAAAGCAGGGAAGAAGAAAAATTAGCAACCGCCTTCATCTGGAATCGAACCACGGACCTCTGGAATACCGTCCCAGCGTGCAGAACCACTACACCCCGAAAGCACACTAGGAAAGAGGGAGAAATACATTATAAGGTATCCAAAAAACAATGGCCTTGCATCTACTTGGAAGGTTTGAGTAACTGAGGTTTGTATGATGTTGTTTTAATTTTAAGCAGGATTTTAAGTTCTCATCAATAAAATGGCTTCTCAGTTTAGTCTTGATAAGGTTCATACTTGAAAATGATTGTTCGCATGAATATGCAAACTAAAATAAGAAAAGAACTTTTTTCAGCTGATTATACAAGTCAGGAATACTATTCCCTGCGTTCAAAATTGACATATCTTCCTACTCCAGGTCTTACAAAGCAGACCACTTGTGCTGTGTACTAAGCTCACACCTGTTTTCTCCAGTGTTTCTATATCAGCGCTAAGGCATTCAAATTTCCAGTTCCATAATTCTTTGTTTTTTAAATCCAGAAACTGCATTTCAAAGTTACCGACGTCAATATTAAAGGGAGTAAAATTTAATTCTGTTACAGTAGTATTCAGAGGTTGTTTTTTTTTTTAACAAAGGCTAACGTTGGTTTGTTGTTTTTGAATTCCTGAAACCCGCTGAGAAAAACTGCTCTCATATTTAAAACTGTTGTTTTGAAATCGCAAATTTCACTATCAGAGTTATTTTCTTGATGATGTTCCAACAGTCTTTGAAAGTGAATTAAAGTTTCTGTTTCAAAATCTTGAGCAAAAAGAGATAATTTGTTTTCAAACAAAATAACTTTTGCGAAACCGCGAAAACAGCAAAACAATTGTGTTTCCTTTCCACTGTTACTTTTGATTAAGCTGTTTTAGATGAAATGTAACATCTAATATGAAATAAAAGTTTTGTATCCAATGATCACTCGCTTGTTCTGGATAATAAACACTCTTTCAAGGAGAAATGCTTTAATTTCTGTAAATAAGGACTCGAAACGTTTCCTCTTGATAAACAACGTACTTTGCTATGCAGCAGAAGATCTGCGTACTCACTCTTCATTTCAACTAAAAATTCTTTACACTGGCGATTATTAAAAGCTTTAGCTATAATGGAGTTAATAATATTAATTACCAATTCCATAACTTCGCAAACTTCTTCTGGAAATGTCTGCGCACAAAGCATTACCTGATGAATGAGACAATGGTAAGTAAGTATCTCGTGATTGATAAATGGTCCATTATACTGAAATCAGTACAATGGCCCAATTATAAATACATCAGTAAAAATCCTACCAGAATCAGTACAATGGCAATTTCAACTTAATACACTAAATAACGTAAAATAGAAATTTCGCGTCGAAATACCTGGGTTTTTTGGCTTTCAGACACTTCCAAATTGAAGTTTTTTTCATATTATATGCAATCCAAACATCATCTATCTATTTTATTTTGCCTAAATTCAGTTTCTAGGAAACATTTTGTTTCAGGCACTGGAAAAAACCAAATTTGGAGGGTCTAAGAAGCTAAAAATCCTGATATTTTGAAACGAAACTAATTTTTTACGTTATTTGGTTTCTCATTCAAGTTAAAATTGAATGGTATATCAATACAAAGAATTTCATAGTTAACATTTGGAATATGACAATTACTACTACAGCACAATTTAATGCATAATCAGTACAATCAAAACTCCGGAATCAGTACAAAAATATTTCCTAGGAAAAACATTTTTAGATATATTTCAGTTGTTTTCCTGCTTCTATAAAGTTTGACGGAACGGATTTTGTGTTGTATTTTAAAGATTTTCTTACTTTTACGTCCACGTGTCCGCATATGCTATTTTGTGGAAGAGCCGTGCTCAAGGAGCCAAAGAGCCACATTTGGTTCGCGAGCCATGGTTTTGCGAGCACTAAACCTAGGTAATCTGCGCATTACCTACCAGGCAGTCGTTAAAGTGAAAATAAGATCTTTGCTGGAACAACAGCTACGTTTCTGTACGCTTAAATTAACATAATGTTATTTATTTGTTTTCCGATATCTAAAAAAACAAATTAATACAATCAGACAATCAACGAATTAGTTCATAGAGTAAATTATTAATGAATTAAAAAATTATTAATATGGTATAAAATATTATTACGACTAAAGAAATTAATATAATGTTATTTATTTATTTTTAAATATCTAAAGAATCAAGTTAATACAATCAAGGAGGGAGAGAGAAAAGAAATGAGAGAAATAACTTTTGAGCTTTAAAACGATACATAAGCCTTTAATATGCACATTAGCTAGGTAAAATTCAAAAAACTCTTGATTCCGCACTTAGGAGCAAATTAGTTAATCTACAGATTAGCTAGGTAATGTGTACATTAACGACTTTAACGGCAACATATATGTATAGATAAAAGTACAGTTTACATTTATGTTCGATTATAATTACACTTACTTAGTCTTTGTTTTCCCCAAAGTTCTGATTTAATGCGTACCTTAAAACAAAGGCGCGAGGCTCAGTCCATGTAAAAATACTAAGTCTCTTCTAACCAGAGGCGTAGTTAGAGTTTTCAGCGCCCGGGGACAATTGAAGATTTTGCGCCCCTTTCTTTGCCAAGAACGGAAAACACTTCATTCTAAAATTTCGTAACATCAATTTGGTGCCCCCTGAATGCTGCGCCCGGGGACAGATGTCCCCCTTTGCCTCACCCTAGCTACGCCACTGCTTCTAACTCTTTTCCTGTTATCATTTTCGCGCCATATTTACGCGTCCCATCGCACCATTTTGAGAGTCTTAAACCTTTTTTTTCCCTTGTGGATAAAATCACTTCTAAAAGTGTCTAGTTCTAATGGAGCTCTTAAACACCCTGGAAGATCTTCCTTTTACCTTATACTGCTGCATGCCTTCAATCAGTCAAACGGTAACATCTGATCGAAATTGTAAATTCTTATCTTTGCCGCCATATTTTTTTATACTAGTATCATCTTGAGAACTCATTTCTCCCAGACTCTTATGCAGACATTTCAGATTTTGATACTGAATCACAGTCTGAATCGCAAGACATTAGCTATACCCATTCTGAAACATACATATTTTATAGTAAAAAGGAGTTTTAACTACTCTTACATCAATAAATTTATTAAATCAACAGTAAAATCCAAGCGAAAATTTAAGCACTGAAAGATAAAAAATTCATTGAGTCATGCAAATAACGTGAAACAAAAGCTCGTGCATTTGAACCAATCGCAACAGAACAAAATAGACTTCATAAACAACTACTTATATCTGCTGCTAATTTAACTGCTAATACTACTAATTTGATATCAAAAATCTAAAAAATTAGGAGAAAACAATAAAAGCAACAAAGAAAAGAGATTGCTCGTACGGTCCGAAAGCAGCGCCCGTACGGCACACAGACAAAGCAGATAAGTGCTATTTTGCAAGTGCGATTCTTGCTATTTGATTAAAAAAAAACTATTAAAAGTCTGGAAGAATCAACGTAACATTAGTAAATTTGAGGAAATGTAGTTATGAAGATTAATCTCATCTAATGCTAAGATTAAGAATCTTCTCTTCAAATGCAGAAAATGATGAAAAGAAATCTATAATTACGGCAAGAAACACAAAAAAATCCAGAAATTTCTAGTGGAATGGTAGAAGACAAAGCCCCTGGCGCCATCAATGAGAAAGAAAACCAATGAAGAAGTAAATTCTTGAACGCTGGCGATAAAGAGGGATTAGTCTTGGAATCATTAATCAAAAGAGTTTTATAAATATTAAAACCTTCCCAAAAATCTAAATTCGCCAATCGAAAGAATTTAAAAATAGTTCCTGCTACAGAGAAACGGAAAAGTGACGTTTTGACCAGCAATTAAGGATTAACGAGTTTGTTTTTAATGAATATAAGTCTTATGCTCTTTAACTTGAAATTTCAATTATCTTTGTTTCAGCAATAACTGTGCTGGAAAAAATATTATAAATTTCTCAGGAATTCATATGTAGAATAGAGTCTTTAAGTAATGAATTATGAATTTTATTAGTAGAAGATAAACAAGACGAGAAAATTAAATTTATGCAAAATACGTACAATTTTATAACTAATCGATGAAAAGAATGGAGTGAATACCGAATTCTTATGTCGAAACGAAACAACATTTTTTTCTTGTTTTGAAATAAAAATTATTTAAAGAATTATCAATTATAGTGTCAATTGCAATTAATATACAGCTTGTCAATTGTAACTGTTCTCAAAGTTTGACTTTTTGATAAAGAACACACTTCGAGAAGCAAACTTTGAGTGCATGGAAAACGAAAGAATAACATGAAGCCAACATTGGTTCGATAGACTGACAGGATTTGACTTGCAGGGTAGGCGATGTATTCTAGTTAAGAGAAGAAAGTAACGGCATCATCTACTGATGCTCCTGTTTGACTGTTTGGAAAATAATGATATCCAGGGAATTTCCCCTGACCGTTCTTAGAACTTAAACCCAGTTGAACATGTTTAAGATGCTTTAGATCTCAAGGTCTTAGAAATTCAATCTCTTCCTACAAGTTAAGGAGCTTAAGCAATGGAAATTATTTCCGTTAAATCATTTCAAGAGTCAAATAAAGAGCATGAATAATCATTGCTAGCTTTGTGTTTTGGTCAGGAGAAATCTTACTCTCTATTAAATGTTTGTTTTGGCTTTTTTTTACATTTTATATGGATACTTTTTTAATATTTGGTTTTGTTCTTAATTGTTTTGTTCTTTTTGACAAAGGCGTTAATTTCGAAATTGTATAATATTTTTTTTTTCGTTCTATGACTTACGAAAATATCAAAAACTTGGTGTAAATTTCATGCTTCTGTCTAGAGATACGCTAGCACTTAGCAGTTAGCTTTTAATTTTTCCCTTCTTTGAATTTCACTTTCCTTTATTTGTGAACACTAAAAATGAGCGCTTAATCTGGAACACAGTTCTTCAGCAAATATTTTTATTATATAACTCTAGATGTGCTTTCCAATTCCCAGTGAAAGATTTATTAAATTATACTTTGATGAAAATAAAAATCCACATACTGTTAATTGATTGTTTTAATACAGAAGTTTGCTTACTCATAAAACTTTTCTTCGATATAAGCCATCCTTTCAAAATAAGTTGCGGCTGATGTACTTTCTTGGGGAGCATATTTAATTTTATATTGTTTGGCAAGATCATCTAAGGACTCAATGGGAGAATCCAAACGAGAAACTGTAAGGAACGCAGCTAAATTGGCTGTGTATGAAGCTATAATGATGAACCCAAAGAGCCACCACGTTGCAGCAACTAGTCTTCCTGATAAATTTCGAGGAGCCTCCCCACCTCCTACAAGGAAAAAATGTTTTAATAAGATGCACATCTTCTAATGTATGCCCATTTCATTTTCATCTATTTCTTTTTTGAAATGACGGATATCGTTTTGCAATTAAATTTTGTTAATTACCTTGAGGCGTCAGCGACGTCATACAGAACCAAAGACTTTCTTTCAGACTGAAATCCCTTTTCTCATCCTCATCATCATCTTTGTACTTTTCTTTGTTGTTGTAGTAACTATACGGACTTAATCGATCAAATAAGTACATGAGAAAACTAGAAAAAAGTAAAATAAACAAATAAAAGAAGAGAGCATAAAGTATTCTTTATGAAAAAAGTGTTAAAGAAATGCATTATTATTTAAATTATGTGCTTGTATTATGCAAGCATTGTACCATATTTTACTGGTATTTTATAAACATACATATATTTACACAACAAACAACGGAGGAAAAAAGAGACAATAGCTCGTGTATAAATAGAAAATTCTTACCTTGTTACAAAGTAAGCAGCAAGAATGCAAGCCCAAACATTGGCTTCGAGCACCGTAAGAAATTTAAAAAGCGATGAGGGAACAGATGGTTTCTTCATCAAGATGCTAATTCCAACCAAGTCATAGTAAGGCACGGTGAAGTCAACAACTGTTTCTCTTTCAGCCATCACGGATATAGGACCAAGGGCAATTTCTGCTTTCTGTAGAAAATTGGCAGCATAAATACTACTTCTTGATCTGAGAAATACTTTTGAGCACTTTTGAGCAATTTAATATTTCTCCGTGAGACACATTAAAACTACAATAATCTTTCCTGTTTCCAAAACCTGATTTGATACAAATTATTCCTTAATAAGGATTTTAAGTTTTACTTACGTTTATTTTATTTTAAACTTTGCAATCCTCTCTTATTTTCCATTTCCGGCCAGAAAAAGCGCGAGTAGGATTTTTATGCATTTATTGGTTGGCAAACTGTAAAAGGTATTTAAGAAGTGGCTTCTAGCCAAGAGAGAGAGCCAGCCTGCTGCCCTGCTACGCGCGTGCCTTTCAGTCGATTTGTGTCTGCTCCAGAATTTAGTTCCTGCTGATGTACTAAACGTATTGTACTATTTGCATTTAGCTCACTACATACGTTTTGTCAAAAGACCAATCTTCACGTTAATTGTCTCTGGGAAGCATTTAAGATTGAATTATTATTAAGTGAATATTTCTTATTTGTTACGTTTTTGACCAAAAGTGTTGGTCTCTGTATCCCGAACTGCGGGAGCACCTGTGCGATGCGTGGAATAAAGGGTGAAGATAACCTTCCTTAACGTATTTGTCTATTCATCGTACACACGAACATAATTTGAGTAAGCTCCCTGTTCCCACTTAGGTTTCCAGTAATGTTTCCCAAATCAAATAGAAGGAACAGTAGCCCTGACACTGTAATTATTATTTTTATGTTTGTGATAGCTTCTTAAGATAGCTTGGGAAAGGAAAATAATTAAACGCTATTTCTCTCAGCTATGATTATTATTTATTGTGATTAATATATATATTTGAAATATTTATTGTGATGACATAGGAATAAAAATTAGGAAAATACGTATGTGCACAATATAAAGCAGATTAGGGAAAAAGGTGAAATCCCATACTCACCAATAATGATGTTAGTATATTTTGCTATGCATAGAAGAGAACTTGAAATACAAAATTACTAGCTAAATATGATTATACAAAGGGTACTTATCAATGAAAAATTTTTTATTATAAAAGACAAAACACCTTATTATGCATCACTAAACTTTGTATGTCCGATGGCAATAAAAGAGATAACTGTACGTTAAAACAATTTCATCCAAACTGACTCAGATTCTCTTAAAATGGTAAAAAAATATCAACCCAAAATCTTTTGTCGCAACCAGATCAGGGAATTTGCAGTCATTTGTTTAGTTAAAAAGTGAAATTCTAAATTGATTGATTAATTTATTAGATCATGACGAAGTATATAATAGGACTATCTGCATATAGGGAAGGGATATCTTCTTGAAAAATGTTTAAGGGAAACTAGCTTCTAATCACGTTATACACGGGCAAAAATCCCAAAAGCCTCCATGCACACAGCTTGTTCTCTAGGATTTTAACGTAAGTCTAACACCAGTATTCAGCGATGTTACCCATTTGTTCACTGGGGACACGAAATTAGATAAAACTAGGTAATACTTAATGAGCTAAATTAAAAATTTATAAGAAATAAAACCAGATTTTTCAGAATGCAGATTAATATTTTATTTTAAAGAAAGATAATGTTTTTTTTACAATATTTCTAATGAAAATTTAGAATTAAACTTTATTGCTTCTCAAACTCTAAAATGAAGCCTGAAGTCGCAATTTTTATTCCGCATTTCACACAATTCAGAATATGTGAATGATTTATAAATTCTTAATTTCAGTTTAAAGAAACTGAAGTAATCATAGTTCAGGTAATATGCATATAAAAGAATTTTATTCAGAGTAATGGACATTTGTGTTATAACTGGTAAATTTTTAGAATTAAAATATTTTAGGTAGTGATGAGTTGTATAAATTACAAAGTGTTGTTGAGCTTTAAAGGTACCATGTAATTAAATAAATTTCCCATTAATGAGTTTAATTATCATTTTGTGTGCTCAAAGATATGCTAATCAATCTCTGCGCTCGAATAGGTGAAAAGGCTTCAAACATAGTTATATTTGAGAAAAATATATTTCAGTACTTATAGAAGTAAATTGTGATATACTCTTGTTAGATGAAAAATAATAAATTATACCTTATCCACTAAGTCTCTTATCATGCCATTCCATTCCAACTTGTCATTCATGGTTCCAAACTTTTGATCTGCTGTTTCAAAAATTGTATATTCAAAATTCAAGATTTGTTTTATTTCATCCAGTAGTTCAACACAGTAACCAGTAAAGGATACAGTTCCATTTTCATCAACGTTCTTGATTACGAACGGTGGGATCTAAAGAGAACAACAATGCATGGTAATTTTTATGGCATAAATGCGTCAGAAATAAGATAAATGTAGCAAAAATGGCAATAGAACTCACTAGACTTAAATACATTATACTCATAAAGAAATTATAAATAATTTATGCTTTATTTAATTTCTCTGAAATTTAGGGATTTCAATATGAATGGCTATCCTCAATACGTGAGTTATTTCAACGGCCTTATAACATTTATTTTAGGAAAGACAATATATTTATAGTCACTGCTTTCGGTAATTTCTAATTTTTTCATTTTCTCCAGAATGGAAATCAATTTGAGTCTAAATAGTGAGCGAAAGGCAAAAATGTAAACGTTGCGGAGATTGCAGTGCAAGGCGAAACCGTCGTCTTATCCCCTCATTAGTATCAACGTAATGGGTAGTATCTCTTCATTCAGTTCGAGGTAATAAAAAAGTCTTGAGTTTAGACTTGAATATTTGCCTGTTCATTTGTAGGATCCCTTCATCTACGCGACAATATCGTTGTAAAAAAAGCACCTTCTAATCATCGCAAGAGGATAACATCGCAGACATGTATTTTTTGGGCATTAACATTTATAAATATATATTTGTGTAATAATTTGTGAGCGCAAGAAAGAATGAGGAATATTGTTACCTCTGTATTTCATGCGATGATTTATAGGTGCCTTATTTATTACCACGATATTATTTATGGCAATGTTTTAAAATCGCGATGTTTCTGAGCAGCTTTATTGTCGACGACGATGTTTTCATAATAAGATGCCTTTTCTCATCTTTCTTTTCTCTCATGATGTTTTATACGACGACGCTTTCGCCTTGTTTTGCTTTCTCTGCTATATTTATGCCGCGATGTTTTTGGCGGACGCCGAGTGATTTCGTATTTCTTAGGATGTAGGGTTAGAATCCGCATTGAATTTAGTTATTTAGATAAAAGTTAGATTGCATGTTTTACTGGTTTAAATACTCGAGTCTTTTAAAGCCTATAGATACTACTGTCTATTGTTTATTAATTTTAAGTTGCAGACGACGAAGAACAGTCTAATAAACTTTTTAGTTTTTTCCCTCTTATATAATTTTATATATATGTTATATAATAATCTCTTATATAATCTTACTGAATTTTGGATATATTTTTGCTTAGTTGTGAAAACAATAGTTCATCAGAATGATATAGATTAAGTAAGTGCAATTAGATATGTAATTAGCTTTAGTGTTACAATTTTCTTTTCAACAAATTACTGCAGAATAACTTTTTATAAGAGTTTTAGTAATAAAACTAAGAATGCCTTGCTATTGTTCTAAAACTGAATGAGTGTTTTTCGCCGTTATGTAATGGTAGATAGCATTGAGAATTCTATGTATTACGTTAGTTTTATCAGTAGGCTTAGACAAAATCCAAGGCATCCATTTTTTACGAATTTATACAGTATCTTTGCCATAATTCTCATGAACCTTTTATATAACAAATATTTTCTCTACCACGAAAAATATTCCATACTCCTTCCTATTTTTAAGAACTGTGTTTCTACATTAAAAGTTTTTAATTTGAAGTAAGTCTTAGCTGGCAGAAGACAATTAGTCTGTAAAATTGCAATAGAAAAATATTATCTGATATTAAATCATAGTATTTTTAATATACTGTACTTCATTTTTATACGTTTAATTTATTAAGTTTCTTTGTACATGTACTTTTCATTAACAATATTTGTAAAAGCGTATAAAAATTGCTTAACGTCCGTTTCATGCCTTTTTATGTTATCTGCAGTAAAATGAAGTCACGTTTATCTAATTGGAGCGTTGCAAAATTACAGCTTGAAACGTATTAATCTGATCAGAACACCTTGTTAGTTGACCTAAGTTTTTAACAGTTATATTTAGTTAAAGCTACTTTCCTGTCCTTCCTAATTTCAGTTTACAATTTCCTATCAGAATGGGATTTTAAAAATCACGGTTAATGCAAATGAGTAAGAGTCGAAGTTTAGTCGAAATTCCACCGACTTCGTTAGAGAGCCAGATTTTCTGACTAGCAAGTGTTCGCCTTTTGGCTACACTCTCTCTAAGCTATTAACGACGCTCGGCCGTATTTCAGGCCTTTGATATCTTCGCCAGCTTGACATTTAGGGGCAAATTACTTAGAAATTCTTGATAGCTTCGGCTATATCTTTTAGTTAAGCTTTAGTTTTTTATTTTCTTATTACTTTGAGTTCAAGCCCAAGTAGAGGCTTTGCTGTACGTCCTGAGAAAGAGGGTAATTAACCCTTCTTGAGTTTTATGTTTATGTATTCTGAACTAAAGCAAATATTCGCTTACTTGTTCACAAGGTTCCTACACACTTAGCTGTTAGGCAAAAGGTTGGAACCCCACAACCTTTCATTGTACTTTAAACATACACATTAAGTATTCATATTATGATTGCAGTGTCTGTTAAATAAAGTGATAACATGCAAACTAACCGAAAGAGTAGCGACACGATAAACAGTAATAACAGTGAAATTCTTCAAATCACTCCCGGCTTCGAATTTTATTTTTCCTGTTGGTTGCCCATACGTCCAAACTCCAATCTAAAATGGAAATAAAAGTTTATAGTAACATCTAAATCATGCATGTTGCATATATTAGAAGTTCCTCACATTTTACCTCACTCACCCTTTTGGATTCTGCAATGATGCTGTTGACGAAGCTTAATTTTCTCATAATGAGCTCCAGCTCTTGATAACTTCCATCATTTTCCTTGATTTTAAATGGACCGAACATTCCTTCATATGCTTCCTGAAAGCATACTATTTTGCTAGCTTCAAAAAGGTAGTAAGAAGATAAATGCATATTCTGCTTATTATTTACAACGAACATATAACGTCATATCATTATCTATCATAGGTAAAGCTGTTTAATGTCCTCTCCCATTTCAAGTAATAAAAGACAAAAGAAAAGCTTGGGTTTACTAGATGATGATTTCATAGGTAAGTTGAACTATGCAAATTATCTAAATTACTTAGGATTTAGATATTCAAAGGTATATTTTCCATAAAATGATTTAGCTACTGCTTCGAGGTAATAAGAAAAACTCTGGACGATCTAAACTGCAAAAAGCAGGCCTTTTTATCAGCATTAAATGATTTTACAAAATAAAACCCAATTCTATAAAATTATACAAATTTTAAATAGACTTTTCTGAGTTTATTAAAGAGAGTATTGCAAGTTAACATTCTCTGAAAAATTCAGTATACATATTCCCATTTAAGTGCTTAGCAGAAAGCTGTAAACTCTTCACTTTCCACGGAGCATACAATTGTGTTTTAATTTCAATTAATTAAAAAAAATAAAGTAATAAAATGTATACCTGTTTGAGAGCAGTTAGAAGCTTAAAATTCTTGCGTTCATCAGAGCTGACATTATCGCTAGATGCACAAGACAGATAGCTCATTTGTGAAGGCCATTGTTCTTTAATTATCTCCTTGCGAACTGCTTGAACAACAAGTATCACGAGGTCGTAGTAAAAAGCAATTTCCACCTACAAACTATCAAAATTAGAATAACGTTCCTTTTGATAACCCAATTAAATTTGAACATTAATAAAATTGAATTATGAAGATATCTATAATTGTCTATGAGATTTTTCAGCCCTTAAGAAGATGGCACATCAAAAGTAATTTAGGAAGTAAAAATATATAGATGATGTTAAATGTTAAAAAATATGCTATGATTAAAAACTTTCTTTAAATTATAGAACCTAGTTGTAAATTTAAAGCATTTTGACTGAGAGCAAATATTAAGAATTCTAACTAGTAAGAAGTAATAAGGAAATAAAGTAATTTTTAGAATAAGAAGGTAACTTTTAAAATGGTTGCAGTTTCACGAATATGAAAGACGAAAAATTTTGAGATCACCATACTTGAAGTTAAACTTGTAACTTTATTAATTATTATTCATTATTAACACATTAATTATTATAATTATTATTTTATTATTTATTATTAACACATTGTAGTAACCCTGCCTTCAATCGCAGCTCGTTTAGTAGGTTAGAGACTTAGTTTAATTATTTAGTCATATTTAAAAGCCTGATTGTGTATGCGTGTAGAAACATTAGGTTACTTTGATGCTGAAGACGTGAAAAATGAGTGATGCCCTCTGTTCTGTCTTTCGGTAGATAGGTGGCGTTCTAGCTGCGAGCCGATGAGAAATATTTTTACTTGACGCTTGAACAGAAAGAATGGCGCATGTATTATACCTTTTTTGATGCTTGATTATGTTTTCATGGCCGCTATAGGCGGAAGTAATATATTACATCTTTAAGTTTTATAGTTAATAAATGTTATTTCTGTGTTCTGCGAAATCTTGAAGTTTTGATTGTCAATCTAATGCTCTCCAAACCTAACCCCTGAACAACTTGAAATTATGACTCATCGCACACCATTTTTTGGAGTCTGAAACCCACGAAAAGGGGAATTACCTATTAAAAGGTACGAATTTTGATTTATTTGTTTTTGGTATCAGTCTTTGAAAACGAAACATAATGGATAATTTAGCAAAAGAGAAAAAGAAACATGCTATTGTACGTAGTAAAGTTACTACACTTCTAAATATGCTTGAGATACTATTATCGGAAGAATTAAGTAAAGAACATCTAGAAGATTTAAATTCATCATATGAATTGTTAATTGAATACCATGAGAAACTTAAAAGTTTTGACTCAAAGATCGATGCTCTTATACTTGATGAAAAAGAATATGATAACGAACTACGTGCATGTGAAGAATATGATGAAAAAATTATAACGTTTAAAGCTAAGATTGTTAGTAAAGAAAATTAACAGTAATGAAGTTGTTGAAAGAAGTATACTTACAACTAGTAATGAATGGTATTAGTAGTACACTGAATGGTAACAATGTTGTTACGAGTAGTGCTTCAGTAAAGTTACCCAAATTTAAATATAGAAAAATTTGCTGGTGATCCCAGTAAATGGATCGAATTCTTTAATTCGTATGATAATGCTATTCATTCTAACCCAAGTTTACCTAAAATAGATAAGTTTACATATTTGAAAAGTTTATTATCTGGTTCCGCATATAATTGTTTATCTGGTTATGCTTTATCTGAAGAAAATTGTAATATATGTATTAAAAGTTCAGAAGAGAGGTTTGGTCGTAAAGATGTTATTATATCAAAATTCATGCAGGTGTTGTTATAGTTAGAACCAGTTAAAAGTTCTTCAAATGCTTTTGAGTTAAGAAAGCTCTATGATCAGTTACAAATCTGTATTAGAAGTAGTTTAGATGTTACTAGCGGTTCATACGGACAGTTATTGAACCCAATAATTCTTAAATTGTTACCTGAAGAATTAGCTCTTGAATTCCATAGGAAAAGAGCATCTAACCAAAACATTGAAGCGAGTGGTGAATTAATAGAGTTCATTAAAATCGAAACTGAATGCCGAGAAGCGAGTATGTTTGATTAATAGCTCAAAAGGTAATAAAATACACAGGGGTTAATCCTAAACAAGGGTTAAAAAATTATAAAGTCAAAAATCACAAGCTTCTGCTTTTAACACATCGGTAAAAATGTTTTGCATATTCTGCAAATCAAACATACATCTGCCGGATGTTTGAAATTTTCCGACGAACAAAAACGAAACAAATTAAAAAAGGAAGGTCGTTGTTACAGTTGCTTTCTAAAATCACATTTGTCTTTGGATTGCAGGTCAAAAATACAACCATGCGAAAATTGTAACGAGAAAAATCATAATAAACTTTTCTGCCGTTTGAAATCGAAAGAAATGGAAGATGTTAAATCCGCAGATACGCAAAATAAAACTTTAGTATCTACTTCCCACTGTAATACTCTGAAACCTGAATATAGTGTGCTTTTACAGACATGTTCTGTTATTGCTCAAAGCAAAAATAAATCGAGAATCGTAAGATTATTAATTGATTCAGGTAGTGAAAAAATCTTCATCACCCACAAGTTAGCGCGCGATTTAGAATTGCAAGTCATTAGAAAAGAATGTCTAACCATTTATTCGTTTGGAAATCAGCGCGGTAACTCGCAAGAATTTGATGTATATAGTTTAAAAATAAAAAATAAAAACGATGATCGCTGCCTTGTTGTAGAAGCTATCGGGATAGAATTAATATCATCAATAGAATTCCAAGCAGCCATCCACATGTCAAAACATTAAAGAATTTATGACTAAAAAAGGTTTGGAACTTTCAGATACAAGTCCCGTTAATGAGAACATGAATAATCTACTTGGCGCCGAGCATTTTTGGCATATACAAACAGGAAGTATTTCAGTGATAAATGATGGTTTGTTTATAGTATCCGACGATATTTGGATACACCAGTGATGGGTAAAGTAAAAAATAATAATACTCGAATTAATGCGTTGTTTTTTTATCTACCGCTGAAGGAAACACATTTGACTTGCAGTCATTTTGGAAATTGGAATCGATAGGAATTGAAAATGAAAACAAAACATTTTCGGAAACTGATTTGAATATTATTAAGCATTTCAACGACAGTTTGAAATTTAATAATGGCAGGTACGAAACAAAACTCTTTTGGAAGGACAATAAATCACAACTCGCTGATAATGTTTTCGCTGCTAAACAACGATTTCTAGGACTAAAGCATAAATTAAAGGGAAATTATTTCCTATATAATGCATATGATAGTATAATTAGAGAACATGTTGAAAAATGGATTATTGAACAATTTAAGTTTGTTGAAAATGGACCTAACTGTTATTATATGCCTCATAGGCCCATTATACATGAAAGAAAAGTAACAAAAAGAATAAGAATAGTTTATGATGCCTCCTCTAGGTCTGAAGGAGCTAAATCGTTAAACAAATGTTTGATATCAGGCCCTAATTTAAATCCAAACCTGCTGGATATAATTTTAAAATTTCGCGTACATAAAGTTGCATTTTATGCAGACATAGAGAAATGCTTTTCAGCAAATTCAAATTGAAAGTGAAGATAGAAAAGTTTTAAGGTCCTTGCGGTTTGATCATTCTTCCGACAATAGTTTCTATTGCTTTCTAAAAAATCCTCGTCGTTTCAAATTATTTCTATGAAACAGTGAATCTTCATTCACCATAATTTCTTAAGAATTACTGAAGAATTAACAAATTAATTTTTATGCATGTTCTAAGTGCAGTTATTTTCCATTCGATTGCATGATGTTATTTTACACGAAACACAATATCTTTGTCATTTATCCATGTCTTCTTCCAGTGGCATTAATGATTATAGCAATACAGTTACTGAATAGATGCTTTGTCTTCAAGCTAACTATAAACTTCACCGGTGTTCATCAGATCTTACCTGAGATGAAAACTGGAAGTCTCTAGCCAACTTCTCAGCTTTAGACGCTTTGCTGTTTTGTGGTCTAGGTGACATCCACAATGCAGTGAGTCTTTTACAGTTGCAATTCTGCTGCGCAGAATCCTAGAAAAGTTGGAATTGTTTAATAAATATACGTATTCTTATTTTTTTATATGTTCAAATGACAATTAGCAGGATAGAATATTCAAAGCAAGATTAAGATTTTAATATTCTGCTTCTTGCTACATAAATTTAAATTTTCATGTGTATGCAAAGTAAGTAAGCGACGCATAAAAATTATGTCAGTTTTGATACATTTTTGTAAATTGAAGCTAAATAATCAACTCTCACGCTATAAAATCATATAAGACTTTCCAAAAGATATCATATTATAGGTTCGCTTCGTATACCTGATATGTGTACCAGAAGCTAAAATCACAAAAAACACGGGCATTTCGTCTTGAACTCAGCTCTCAGCAGCACTCTGCCTCTGATAAATAAAATAGAACTAAAACTTAAATATGTATGTCAATAATTTACTTATCAAAATATTCATTTGTAAGGACGCTATTAAATTTTAGAACAGATATATAGAAAAGAAATGGGGAGAGTAGGCCTTATCTTCTAATAAATACGGTAATCACCTCTACAAGTAATGAGGTAAATAACGTGGATGCTGAAATATTGTGAAGGAAAATGTAATTAGTGGGTTTTGCATGAAAAAATATTCACATGATTTAATTTCCGTAAATGTTTCTTTTCAACTTTTAATCTTTTAAAGAAATTGGAACATATACAGAAATAATAATTAATAAACGTACATAGAAATACATCAAATATATACAGAAACTGCACCTTAATGTGCGCTTCAGTTTGATGACGCTAAACTGCATGATTTATTTACTGATCTAGAATGTTTTATAAAATGGCATACGCACATCTCAGAAGTTCCTTCCTCATCATCGTTGACCTCATTTGATATTTCTGTTTTATGTATTGAAATACTGCTTTATAACTTAGCTTGTTATCTAATTAAATACTGCATTATGACCCTTCTGTGAATCATTCTTTGGAAGCAGATTCTTTGATACTTGGTCACTTTACTGGCCTTTAGCAGGTGATAGAATAGGAATACTCTTGCCAGTTATTGAGATAGTCCCATTAGGGTCTGACCTGTGATGCAACTGTAAAGAATATTCTCTATAAGAGATAAGTACCTGACAGAGAGAGAAGAGACTGAAGCTCTTTGCTTCTAAATTGAAGACCGAGAAAAGCAAATTCAGTTCGCAGTATACCTTATAAACTTCAGAACGTATGTACTAAAGAAGAAAAAAACTGCAGCTTTTTTTTGTTAGAGTGAAAAGTGGCAGAGTAGCGATAAAAGAGAATGGTTGTATAGCTTGATTGTCAATGCTGCATTTTACTACAGAAAGTTTTCTATGATGTTATCTGATGTGCATAACTGTACTTCATTATTTTTCAAGACTTTACGAAAATATATCATATTATTCTGTGGCTTTCGCATTCAACAAGAGGAGAGAATTTTGCCTTATAATTTCGGCTGTCACTAAAAGTTACTCACTGAACCCTAACTTCTCTCTGCACTATATTTTGAATTTTATTTTATCAGGACTTAACAGGCTTAGAAGACATCTAAATTAATTTCTCTTAGCAAAGTGAGGAATATGGTTTAAAAACTACGTTACATTTTCTGAAAATGTCTGGTCTTAAAATTATAAAATTTTCGCACCCGAGCATCGCATCGATGCTTATTTGTTTTTGTAATTATATGAATATAAGAAATTTTTGATTTCTTTTGTACAGAATATTTTATTCCTTAGCTTCAAACAGCTTTTCCAACTGAAGAAATTTATAACAATTTTGAGTGGCAAAAAATTATTTTATCTGGTATTTACTTTCTTAATAAGTATATATTTCTTCTATGTGTATCTTTACTTTTAAGATAACGTAAATAAAAAGTAATAAAGAATAAACTAATAAACTAACTAAAGAATAAACTAACGTAATAAAGTATTTACCAATGAAACTAAGAACCAAGCATATTCTCGACCAGTCATGTTGTTGCTTTCCGCCTAAATTAAGAAAAAAAAATTACAAATGCAATACCTTGAATAATATATTTAATCTATTATTTTCAGATAATATAATTTAATGCAATAATAATATGGGCATAATTTTCAGTAAAGAAAAAACTGCGTTCCTTCATTTAATAACTAAACTACTTATTTCTTAGAACTGCATCAGCTAAAATTCTTTCTACGCTTTTGATGAAAGGTTTAATTTGAAGCTTGGAAACACATTGCAGCGGACATGCTAGATGGAACATTAAATGTATCTGCAAAACCCACTGGTTTAAACATAAAAGGAAACATTTATCATGTAAACTACAAACTAGCTCCGTCTTCATACCCAGAGCATCTTGTTACTCAAAAAGGTAATAAAATAAAGGGAAAATAAGACTTCTATATCAACATTGATTAGTAGGTCTATTGCGATCATTAATTAAGTCAGAATAGGTTTGCATGTGAATTTTGCATGCATGTATTCAGTGCCGGATCATTGCCAAGTATTTTATACCATTTGTTTTTGTAGAATCGTTACTGTTTCTGTAATTGACCAAGGTTAAAGAATTTTTTTGTTAGAAGTTTTTGTAAAAGATCGAGACGTCCTCATAAAAGGCAACTAACACATGAACCTATGACTGAGAATACCAATGTAGTTTTCAATTTCATTTTTATCCTCATCAAACAAGTTTGGTCTATTTTGCTATACAAACGACAAATGGGAACAGAGCCATGCCTAGATACACTTCCTGAGTTAGAAACTGCCGTACTGTGGAAGAATGATTGAAAAGGCTAAAATTTTGTACACAAATACTAGATAATCAACCATTTAACATATTATTGAATTTTCAAGGATACACAAGGTCTATGAAACTTATACATATAGGGCAATTTTTAGAATTTTTTTAAAAATATTAAGAAGAAATAAAACTGTAGTGGTGAGATCGGATTATTTATATATTATATATAGTTATCAGAGTTCTTTCCGAAGTGAATTAATATTCCACTCAAGAGGACATTTGGAAAATTATGAGGAATTTCTGTACTGTATTCCATTACCCAAAATAAAGTTCACTTTCCTGCTTTTACAGCCAAAACGTTCTTGGAATCCAGATCTAAGTTTAAATTTCTACTTTTCATTTGCATTTAACTGAATAAATACTTCTTTAAAGTTTGGAAATGTTTCTGCTATTGCATTGGGAAACGGGCTAAACGCCAGTATATGCTGAAATAGTTTCTAGAAATTCGCGTCGAAAGTTTCAAAATGTCCGAAATCAGGTATACCTGCGTTGTTTTCCACAGTAGACTGATTTGGAAAATGAATAAATTTCCCCGATCTCAGGTTTCTTTTAAGCATTTGAAGCTTTGCCACAAGTGACGAAACTACATTTTTTGTTTTTATTAAATTCAAGTTACCACCTTGGAACTTAAACGTTAGTTTCAAGGATTTTATTGAATAAATTTGTCAGTCAAGTTATATCTGTTTAAAATTTTCAAGACTGCTTTTAAAGCAGTATTTGTAGCTTCCGAAAACTCTAGCAATGAGTTGAGAAATTTGGAAAAACCGCTCAAACAAGTGCTCTTTGACAGTCAACGAAATTCTGTATGAAGAACGGGCGACAGAAATGTTCACCGTTTTCATGCAGTGGTGTTATTCAAACAATTTCTCATTCAAAAAATTACCACTGATTTTATTTAATACGCTGTTGGTGAAATAAAGTGAGTTAGGTAAATGTTCACTCTATATTTTGTTATGAAATGTTGTCTGAGAAAACACAGTGTATGATCGATGTATTTGTTAGCTGTCCTTTCAGTTGTGCCATAAACCAGCGGCCGAGCGGTAAAGTCGCTGAACACTGGTAGTTCGGTCCGAGGTTCGAATCCCGCGAACGGGCTGGCTGCATGGGCGTTTTCGTGGTTTTCCCCATGTGTAACGTGTATACGAGCCAGTTTCCCTTAGAAAGTCCTCCACGAAGGCATCCATCCCCTTAGGCAGATAGTGCTTTGCCATAACTCAACACGCCACCACCACCACCACACCGCCACCAGTTGTGCTATAAAGCATTATGACGTCCATTTATCGCTGGAACAATATCAGTGCTAACTGGCATTACTCATGGAAAATTCTTTCTGCTTGAAAGTATTTTTTCCTTATGTAAAATAATTATTTTCCTTTAGTACTGGTATGTAAAGCTCGAACAAATAATAACTCCCAGCAAATTAGTTAATCCCTTATGAAACGCGAGAAGTAAGGTTTCATTTCCTATAATGTTAATTCATCAAGTTTTTAAAAAATGAACTATTTTGAAAAAGTTATATAGAGGGGCTTTTAATATTTTGAGCTTTCTCTTTGATTTTTCTTTGAACTGTATCGTTACTGAAAAGATTTTTATGTTCAATAGTTATCAAATGTTTCCTATGAAAATTGGTACTAAAACTCTCAGGGTCTTTAAAACACCAAAAATTCATTTTACGTCAAAATTATCAAAAGAATTAAAAGTATTGGTACTCTTCTGTTATTGGAACCGGATTCAGAAATACATGTATGTGTGCATGTAAGTATGGATGTGTTCATGTATGCATGAATATATGTAAGTACTCAGGTATGTGTGCATATATATATATATATACATACACATATACGCACATGCATACATATACATGTATATATATGGATACATTTCTGAATCTGCTCCCGATAACAGAACAGTACCAAAGTATTCTTCTTTTTGAATTCTCATTCATAATAAAGTAGTTTGTTTTCAAGTTAAAAGGAGAAGAAATATTTTCGACGGCTTATATAATAAAATTTTTAACAGACGTTTCTTTAATGTTTAGCTGAAATTTTAGACTTTTTATAATTCTATTTTGAAAGATACTTTAAATCTCAAGAAATTATTTGCTATATTCCAATAGTACTTTTTTCTGTTAGTGCAATTAGGACTTTCGTTCTGAGTTAAAAATCACCAAGAATGGATGACATTTCTTCGAATGATCATTTGATTTTCTGTCATTAAATCCGCAAAAATAAAACATTTAAAAATGTCACTTAAATATTTTAACTATATCTTTAACTAGAGAAATATCTATTCACTCTGTACATGTATTGTATAATAATAGCTTGATAAAAAGATACATAAAAATGGAAAAAATATCTCAGTATTTCTTCGTAATAGTTCTTCAATACAGCACGCACTAATAACATTTTTATTCTGATATTGCACTTACATTCCAACTAACTCTACGACAGATCATAAACTTATACTGTTGGTCATTGCAAGGCACATGCGTATAGTTTCCGTTCGCGACATGTCGATGCTCGATGAGAATGGTTTGCTTATGTTGTGTAGATAATTCTCTGATCGCGTTATAAAAACTAGGTGAATGATTTTCTGATTTAAGAAAATCTTAATTTTATTTGATTCTGAATTATTTATTTTAATGCTTTAATTTTGGGGAAAAACAGATGCTTCTGGGAATATTATTTAGTTTCAAAGAATATTATTTATTTTCCTTTATTTGAAATTTTTGTCCAAGCTTTGATTCATTGTGAAAAGAAGCAGGGAAAGGAGGAGATTTTGCTAAGTCATGATTTCGCGCATTTTGTCCGTTAGAATGTTCTAGAAGAAATTTCATTGTGCAATTGACCTTAGGACAGGAAGTAGATGACAGAAGGGTCAGGAGGTTGTCATTTAACCTTCGATGTAAGTCATTCAGGTTTTAGTGATCGGAAGGTCCTGTTGTTGGCTAAGTCACCCTTATTTCCTCACCCTTATTATGCGCGATCACCCTTATTTCCTCATTCACGGGTTGAAACGCAAATTTTGTCCAAATTAAGGGGGCGATAATTGAAGCCATCGTGGGAGCCCACGTTTGTGAAGGAGACTAAGAAAATTCGAGTTTGACTGACTTACTCTTTAGACTTACTCTTTGGACGTTACTTTTGAAACTTGCTCTTGGGTTGAGCGATAGAAAAGGAGATGTAATTTTCGTCGTGAGATGTGTTTCCGGGGGGGGGAGCGGCAAATATGCTCCCCGGCCGCGTTTTGGCAAAAGGGCGAAATTGAAGAGTGGCGACTTTCACTGAAATTTTTAAAGAGACATTTTGCCCGACTGACGAGATTTATTGAAGGATTTAAGACTTTCAAGATTAAGACTTTTTGGCCCGACTTTCGAAGGGGAGGTGTGAGAGTTAAGTTTCTGGTGATGAATAAAGGAGGATAGTTATTCCTCCAGTTGTGCTTCCGGCAGAGAACGGCAGTTATGCTATCCGACCGCCGACTTGCTCTATACCCTTATCTAAAAGCCAAGGACGATGAGGACTTTCTCAAGTATCGTAAAAATAAGAAAGTTTCCTCCAGCATTTGTTAAATTCCTGACATTTATCGGCCAAGTTCCACCCCGTCAATGTGTGATTCTATCCTCGACAGCCGACCAGCGAACTTTGAAGATTCTGTTCGGGTGCTTGTTCCAGTGGCAAATTTTCTTCGATGCTGAGCTTGCGGATGTGTTGCTGAAAAATGATGGAGGCGGCGTTCTTCTATCTTTCGGTCAGTGATCCTGAAAAACGTGAGACTCATTAGACGTCAGTGTCCCCCTTGCGGAATGTATTACTCCCAGGACTTAAGGATGACTATTTATCCCTGATTTCTCCTAGAATGCAAGGCCAGCCCGAGACATTTCCGGGTGCGTTTCAAGTCGTCTACATAACAGATAAGTTTTGTTTTGGTTATCAATTTTCCTATGAACTTTTGGGAATTGGAACTTTACTTTAAATTGAATCTTTAATTTAATTCTAAAGGACTAAATTGCCTCCCTTTTCCCCTTCTTAATTTACCGAGACAAACCTTAAAGTCTTTATATGAAATAGGATGTAAAAATATAATTTGTTTGTGTAATCATCCTTAGAACAGATGTTGAATTGCAGATAATATGTTTCTTTTAACCTCTTAGAAATTACTGCAGTGGTCCAGGTTAAATTAAAAGAGTCATATAGTAGAATTGCAAATCCTTGATTTAAATGTAACCCCCCCCCAAAAAAAAATTGAAGAATTCACCTGTGTCTAAAATAAGAAAATTGAACTGTAACTAAAATAAGAAACCTGTAACTAAAAATTGAGTCTCTGATTAGGAAAAGATTTAATTTTAATTGTTGAGGAATTTGAATAAACTTGTATTTCAATCTGGAAACCTATTACTTATGTTTTCTTTATATCTTTTATGTGTTTTTCTTATATATATATATTGATTTAACATTTTGTGTTATCCGATCCTCTCACGGCGCGGTCCCGGATGCATTTTCACAACGCAATGCACAAAAATTTCACTTATACGATCACTAAAAATCTGGAAATTAGCTAACTCTTAGGAGTTTAGATCTCAGTTGATATTTAGTAAGTTACGGTTTCACCTGTCTGTTTCTGTATTAGTTTCCTCCTTAAGAGGAAGTAGTAACACAGCATTGGTGCCCCATGAATTTCACGGCAAAAGTAGAAACAGAACATCGGTCGCGTAACAGAACACTTAGTATGCAGCATGAAAAAACGATATTCTGTTGATTGTTTAACAAAAGATTGCTTGTTTATAAGTACACTACGTATCTTTAAAAACAAGATATTAATACATTAATTAAAAGTACTTTCATGCTTTTTTTACACAATTGTAGATTTTCGCAGCGGCGAATTTGCTCTAATATTTCCAAAACATTTAGCAGGTAAGAATCAGTACACTTTTATATTCCAAAATGGCTAATAGGTTCAAATCAGTGATACAAATAACTACAGTTGTACTTGGAATTTAATATTCTGTTGGTAGAATGTTTATAAAATACCGTGTGTTTATAAACCCACTGCGTATCTTTGATAATAATTAGAGTAATATCTTTTTCACTTGTAAACAAAAGGCGAAATTTGAGTAACGGTCATTGTGTAAATCGCGAAATTTCTCTACAAATGTACATAGATTATAAAAAATTGATTTATAAAAAAGTTTAGCACTTAAAAATCAGTGTACTTATATTTCCTAAAACATGCAATACGTTCAAGGTAGTAATGCAAATAATTAATACGTAACGCCATCAACATATATTATTTTAAAATTGATACTTATATTTATTATCGACGGAAATATTCAGAGTGTTATCAAAGCCACTTCATATATCAAGATTTTTATTTAAATGGATATGGTGCTTTAATGCATTAAATTTTATAATTTTACACAGAGTTTCTTCTTTAATACAATTTTCTTCTTGTCCATTGAGTTTTTTTTTTAAATTTGAAAATAATAGTCTATCATTGACACAGTTTGTAAGTACTCATAGACAACGGATACATTACAACTTGACGTAGCGATGAATGTCTTTCCGCATTCAGAATGTCTAGCGAACTTTTGTCAATTTAAAGCTTTTTACAATGTCCTCATACGAGCAAAATCCACAATTAAATTAACTTCGTTTCTGAATCTTGAACATGAGGATATGGCTAAAAGTTATTCTCTATTTTCTAAAAGATCTAAGAACTTACATTAATCAGAACCGAACATACTGTGAAGATATGGAGAACTATATAGATGTCTGAAGATAAGTCGATGCTTTTTGTATTAAAAAACTGGGCTTAAGAGTTTTTCATCTTAAAAGAACAGATCTCATCACGTAGCTACTGATTGTAAACCTTAATACTTGATACCCAATATTTAATCATATATTTTATGCTGTTACATAATATGAATGTTCGGTAATTCATGGGGGTAAACCTCAGCGTCATGAATTATTGAAAATACTGCAATATATTATCACTTAAATTCCTATATAGACAACATCCAATGATTTTATCTAGATTACTACTTCTGTCTTTTGCTTGAAAAACGTGCACATCTTAATAGTTTTCTAAATTCTTGCAGGTATTACACAAATAATATTTAGTAATTAAATAATATTAAAAATATTTCAGAATTAAAGTAATCAATACTTACGTATTAGCTTAGTGACCTTAGTAGAAGTCAACAGATTTTCAGAATACTCCAAACCCTGGATATTATGTGCGTACTGATTCTTCAGTTTAATAAGCAACGTCGCCATTTTAGTACAGTACGTATTCTTTTTCTTGTATTCCAAGTTCCTATATATATATCGCAATGTTTTTTTTTTTGGTCTTAAACTCAACTTTAAAATACGAGGTTGTGGATTTTCCAGCAACGGAAGAAATTACTATATACTTTCTCTAGGAACATGTATTTTGTGAAAAATCGCTAAAGGAAACATGCTATGAATAGATTCTTAAAGTGGTCGCCCCGGAAGTTTTACCAGAACGAAAGAAACAAAAAAGCGCGCAAGTAATTGGGATTATTGATTAACGTTTGGGGTAAATAACTAATACAAAACTAAAATTTTTATGTAACAAAGTAATTTTATGCATTACTCTTTCTCTGACATCATCCTTGCAAAATACATCAGTTCTTATCTTCTCTAAAAAATTGCAAATTTATCCGAGGTGGTTGCCCTAAAAAAGTCCGAAAAGTCCGATTTGTTTGAAATTTACCATATTTAGGACATCTCTTAAAAAATTTGGCATTTCCTGTAATTGAGATAATATTTCGAAATTCTCGCTGAAAACAAAACGACTATCCTTATAATCAGTAACATTTCGAGAAGCTTCACCAGAGATTTTCTATCCAAGAACATTCTTGAATTTAACTTACAGTTTCTAAAGCCATGCATATTGTATTTGTTGGTCCAATAACGAAATAATAAGCTGTGTCACTGCTCTTCATTTTGAGGATCTGTTCTTGAATTCGCTGCCGGTTTGCTTGAACTGTCAGTATCGTCGCCCGTGTAGCTATGTTCTGAAGTAAGGTAGAAGATTTTTGATCCATTTCTATAAGATAATAAACAGTATTTGAGTAATAACGGACATAAAGTATTAATACTTCGTGAAAGAAAGGAAGTTTCTCTAAAATTATTTTAAACACTCTGAGACAATATCGAAGTATAGGGTCTAGGATTTTTCGCAGTCGCTGTTTCGCCGTAGCCGTTTGGCTGTCGCCGTTTCGCAGACTAAACATTCCGCCGGCAGCTGATTCGTCGTGGGCCATTTCGCCGTCAAGCACATATGAAATACGTAATAAAGCTTACTTATAATATATATAATTGTTTACAGATGTAGGATATAAAGTAATATTACACAGTTAGAAAATTACGTCAGTATGAAATAGAACAAAATTATCACGTTCCATAATTATGGGCTAAACCTCTGATATAACTGAAGTTATATTATCATTTTTAAAATTATGCAGATACAATCTATACACAATTCGTCAAAATTACTTGAGATTTTAACAGCTAATTCAGAGAAATTACTCATGCAAGCAAGAAATTCACATCCTATTATACGTATACAGTACACCGAATTAACACTGAGAAAACACCTCCAGAAAACTTGTTTACCTGAGAAAAAAATCATCAGTTCTAGGTAATGTTTTAGTAATTCTAAAAGATGCGTTTAACTGCAAAAGCGTTTTCCTTTTAAGATTTAAGACAATCAGATGTATACAATAAGTAAACAAAATTATTAAACAAAGTAAGCTTAATAATATAATATGGTAAGATATAATATAGGCATGTAAAGAAAAATATGTCTCGACTATAAAATTGGTAAACAAAGTTATTAAACTAAATCAACCTAATATGATATGGCAAGATATAATATAAGCATTAAAACAAAAATATGTCTTGACGGCAAATCGGTGCGATAGCAAAATAGCTCGACGGAGTAACGACGACGTCGAAACAGCGGCGGCAGCAGGGTTGCGGGCAATAATCCCATTCCATGAAGTAAATTGCAACTATTATACTTTGATGTAGCGAAAAAATAATTGTAAAATACACTTATTGAAAAATTATTCAGTGACAAGCCATAAATTCAGGAAGAAGTTATATTCAGTAAGAAGCCATGAGGTTACCTATATGAAAATTATTTAACTAACTGAAGCAAAACATGATTTCAAATTTAATAAAATAATGACGTTGAGTAACACTGAATCAGCTTTTCATAGAAAAATGTTGTAAGAGTTTAAAATAATTTAATATTCTCGTTTTTGCTAAAACTGTCGAAATTACTTCCGGTTTTTGATAATTACTTTCAACGAAAAACTTTAATTAGTGGAATTTTCAAGTGTATTTTCAGTCACTATAAGAGGTTAGAAAATAAAGGATGTCCGCTGAAAACATCATAGTAAAAAACATCGTGAGGAAGACGTAAGCAAGGAGAAACTGTTCTAAAACATCGTAATGTGAAACATCATCGTTGAAAACAAAGTGGCTAAAAATATAGCAGTTTTAAAACGTCATCATAGAAAATATCATGGTAAAAAATAAAGCACCTACCAGTCATCGCATGATGATAACATTGCTGAAGCGAGATTTTCAAGCTCAAAAAGCTGTAAACTTATATTTGCATAATAATTCGTGATTTCAAGAAGGAGTGAGAAATAATTTTACCTCTACATTTCATATTTTTGGATTAATTAACAATTTTTTGCTAAAAACGCAAGAAGGAAACTTAAGCATTCAAAACTGAAAATGAGTAGAAATGAATGCTATGTATAACAGTTAAGAGAATTTATAATTTATGAACTATTAAGCTCATTATTTAAGGGGACTCATACACCTTAAACCCCTCATGATCTTCGAATATGTGACTGTTGCAAGAATTGGAACATTTTATTTATTTTAAAAGCAATTATTTCCATCTTTTTACAGCTGACTACATAATATAGCTGCTTTGGAAACTAGTAACCAGAAAGTTTGTGTTGCCTAAAATATTTTTGTAATTTAATCCTCTTTGTGACAAAATATTTCGCCATGTTTCCACCTTGCGCGCATGATATTTTAAAAATGGCTAATGGTACATACTTGAAATTGGATGGAATTCTTTATATGGGCACTATTTTATAACTGAACCAACAGTCTGATGAATATTTTAATATTGAAAACCTTTATGCACGAAAACGTTACAAATTTTGTTAATAAAATAAATTTTAACACACTCAACTCAAATAAATAAAATTTAACACGAATTTTTAGAATTTTAGGTTTACAGTAGTTTCCAAATGTTATAAAAGCTATATATTAAATATGGAATTAAATTATCAAAACAGAATGTTTTAAACTGTGCGCGCAAGTTGAAAACATGACGAAAAATATTGTCACAAACGGATGAAATTATAAAAATATTTGTGGCAACACAAACTTTCTGATGACTATTTCAGAAAGCAGCTATATTATGTAGTCAGCTGTACAAAGTTGGTATTAATTGCTTTTAAAATAAATAAGTTATCCCAATTCTTGCAACAGTCACCTATTCGAACATCTTATGGGTTTTAAGGTGTATGAGTACCCTTAATTATGCTTTTTCATAAAGTTGTACTGGCAGTTTTCCATGAAAAATATAATCCAAAAAATGGAAAAGGGAAGCTGAGTAACTGCATGAAGTTATCTATATTAAAATGATTTAACTAACTGGAACAAAAAATTTATTTCAATTCTACTAAAACAATATAACATTAACAAAGGAAAAGAAACTAATTTTACAATTTGATAATTAATTACACAATTTTAATATAGGTAACCTTAACTCATCTCCCTTTTTCTAATTTTTTAGACTGTATTTTTCAAGAAAACTGGCAATAAAACTTCAAGAAAGAGATTAATTAAATAATGACTTTTATATTTAAATTCATAAATTTAACATTCTATTAATTACTACTTAATATCAATTTTTCACAAGCCAAAAATATGAAATATAGAGGTAAAAATACTCCTCCTTACTACTTGCGCTTACAATTCATTATGCAAATGTACATTTATAACTTTTAAAGCCTATAAAACCCCGATGTTATCATCGTTGGTACTATATTTTTCACAACGATATTTTTTACAGCGATATATTTTACTACGAAGCTTTAAAACTGCCACATTTTTTAGCCGTATATTTTCGATGACGATGTTTTCTCTTTGCTTTCTTTTCTCTCACGATGTTTTCGCCTTGAGCTGTTTTCTCTGCGAGGTTCGTCTGCGGTATTTTTCCCGCGATCTTTTCACCTGCAACCAAATAAATAGGGACAATCTTTACCTTAATGCATAAATTAGGCGCTTAACATACTAGATAAATAAACAATGGCTTTCTTATTTAAATATGAAAGTAAGTGATAAGAAACAGAAAAAGTAATTTTTATTTACTCTGGTATTATATGCTTTAATATGCTGTTATATGAGTTGAACTACTATTTTTTAATGTAGGAGATGGTACGTTTTAATCCTCTTTGAAAAATATTGGAAATTCGCAAAATGGGTATTATTATTGGCGTGAGGTTCACTTCAATATGAAATGAATTCAATATGAAAAACTATTTATTATGTAAAATTTTAATGTAACATTATATTAAAATATCGAGAGGTAACAAATACTACCGTTTTTCTTTCTTCTCTTGCTTATACATACGCATATATACAGGCAAGAGATGAAAAAAGACACACACTCGTTGTTTCGCAGTCTAAATGTTGAAAGTCAGATATGGCTTAAAATATTACTGAAAATGAAAAAAAACATACAAAAGTCAGGATACAGATTTAAAAATAACACTTAAAGCCGCAGTGCCAAGACATCATCATCTAATTAACTTTTATATAGTTTAACTTCCTTCCTACCAATTACTTCATATTTAGTCACAAGCCTCTTTTATTTTTCTCATAAATTAGTTTTGTTTCTTAAATTTATGACGCCAACTCAGTTTGACTCAGTTTTTTATTTTTTAATTTTTATTTACTTATTTATTTTGCATAATAGGGCTTTCGTGTATTAGAATGAAATGGTTATTAGCCTCTAAATATGATTCTGTGTTGGTTCACATTAAATGTCATCCACTGTAAATGCGTTGTTTCGCTTTTCATTCGAGTCTGTTGCCATTAGGAAAACTGTAAGATAATTATCTTTCAATTTAATCTGTCTGTCACTAATTAACAAATTAACCTACTTAAAAATAATAGATTCTTTTAATTTTTTAACAACTATTAATATTTTTAACAATTTAACTTGTTTGATTTAAATACAAATGCATTTAATTAAAACATTAAACATTTTATTAAATTACGTTTGTAGAGACATTAGGATTTTTGTGAAGCACGAGTCGTGAAAAATGAGCAATGCCCTCACCGGGACTCGAACCTCGGACCTCTGGAATGCGCGCCGAGTGTGCTAACCATTACACCTCGAAGGCATGCTAAGAAGGTGGGAGATATACCTTATATACCCCCCCCTTTAAAGGCCGGTTGGGGATAAGAGGACCCAATCGCCAAATCTTGGTGGTGGAGAATCATCATCCACCACCTTTTTTAGTTCGGGCGCCACTGTAGAGTCATTAAGATTTTTTTTATGCAAGAGTCGTTTTTTAAGCAACGCCTTCGCCGGGACTTCACGCTCCGAGTGTGCAGACCACTGTAACACGATGACGTGTTAAGAAGGCGGGAGAAATACCTTATACGTTATATATTTCCCTTTTCAAGTATAACTTTCACAAAATGTATATAATGTATCAAGTATACACTTCACAAAAGGCATTCACTTAAAATCCTATAAAATGTTTCGCTGTTCCACTTCGATCATCTATCTGATAAACCATACTGAATTTTAGAAGACACTTTTGGGCGACTGAACCTTTTTAGATTTCTTTCTTTTTCTTTTCAATTTACTTTAACACGTAATATTTGCTTAACTCTTTTTTTCAAATTTATTCATTTAATTTCTTTTTTTTTTAATTTATTCGTATTTATAATCTTCATTGTTGTCTCTTCAATATCTTTCAAATTTGAATAGTTCCTTTTAAAGTTTTCCTTAAAATTCCTTCTATATTTCTCTCATGCACTCCGGGTAAGCGTACATTCAACGACGAAGTGCCTGGCGTCCCCAAACTTATTACAAATTAAGCATTTATCATTATTCTGTAGATGAACCGATTAAAATAAGCCGGGAAAAGCCCATGATTAGTCAATACCTGATTTATATCAACATTATTTATATATATATGATCGAATGGACAAAATATGGAAAAGAGATAAAAGCGCATGTTTACGAGTCTGAACTTCGTCACAACGCAAAAGGCAGGCGGGAGCATCAACGGAGCATTTCGAACTGCTACAACGAAGAAAGAATAGTGCAAATCTGGTGACTAGACAAAAAAACGGAGAGCCTACCATTCAATAATTCCCATCATTTGAATGCGCTTGAAAATTTGAAAAGTTCTCCGAGAAATTGCAGAAAAAATCTTCGCACATAGTCTGGAAGTTTGCATTTCTGGGTTTCTCCGGAACATAAATTTTGCATTTTTGATTAGAATAATGATAGCAAATAAAGATGCGTCAACAACAATACTTCAGAAAATACAAAACTTATACTCTATAACTCGCTCCTATGCACCATTTCTTCTCAGACTTCTTGCCAGTCTGCTGCAGAGTTTTTAAACACTTTTTGGTAACGAAATGTTCAACAATGGCACAGCTGTTAGAAGCTCCTTTAAGCAATTTGATAAATGTAGTATATCGTACTTTTATAAAATTGGCATGGATGTACTTGTATCTCTTTAGAAGAAACGTATTGAATCTAAATTTCACATATTTCATTAATGAATGTGAATTTTAAGTCACCGTTGCCTGAAGTTTCAGGAACTTTTCATGTGCAACAACATGATGCATTATATCCAAATTGTATTAATGCATACGATTGTGTTCAGAACATTGAATTTTATCTCTCTATTGGGAATTTTGATTTGATGTTTTTAACAGTAATTTTATTTTTTGTTATTAATTATTGGTCTCTAGTTTTCTCTTTTTTAATCTGCATTGTGCTGCGGTAACTATCAAGCCGATTTTTCTCAGCCAAGAGGGTTGCAGCCCTCTCGTATATTACATTACATTACATGATTTTGTTCTGGATGTTGGATGCACTCTCATTCATATTACATATTATGTACTAAGAAATTGGTTGTATCTATGTACATACATTAAAAATGAAAAAGGAACATCTTTCTCCGCATCGTCACCAGGGAGCTTGCGACGAAAAAGTAAATATATCAGCCTGCTTCTGTACTCACAAAGACAAAAATTAAAAACTAGCGTTTAATACTTACAATCTCAGAAAATTTATCAAAGTAACCTGTGTCCCTAGCAGGCCGTTGTAAGTAGTTTCAGAATTATAGCATCAAAACTGTTAGCAAACTTAAAAAACCTTAAAAATCTAATAAAAATTATTTTCTGCAAAAAGTCCAAAACTGACCGAGACTGAGTCCAAAAACAAAACATATTAACACAAGCAGTCCAACGTATGAATAAATAATAACAAATGAAAATTTGATACCAAAAACATAAAATAATAAATAGAAAGATAAAAAAGAAGATTTAATTCTTTAATCTGTAACATCAGAACAACAATTGCTTTGAGAAGAGAAAATGTTAATTCGATTCAACATGCCCAATAGCATAAGCCTAACATATGCTAAATAATGATATTACTTAACTCATATTAGTTTATGTTAAGCTACATTACATAGCACATGTTAGTTATACATATATACACAACTACATTCATAAGTGTAGAGGTAGAAATAAAAATTTCTAAGCTAGATTTCTTGAAGATGTGTTAAATTCATCTGCTATTATTGATGTCTTCTTTGAATGAGCAAAAAGAAGGAAAACTCCAGATTCCAAGAAAATTATTCCTTATTTTGTAAAACTGGTATAAAAAGTATGTCTTTTTTATGAATCGAAACTTCAGAATTCTTAGTGGATATTTGCTTGTGAGGTATTTCTCCCACTTTCTTAGCATGCCTTCGTGGTGTTATGGCCAGCATACTCGGTGCGTATTCGAGAGGTTCGTGGTTCGAATCCCGGCAAGGGCACTGCTCATTTTTCATGTTTCCTACTTCCAAATAACTTAATGCCTCTACGGTATAAGTTCTAGAAAATATCTGCTTAATTATATAGAGCAAACTATTATTTTTTCTTCCTGCCTGATTGTTAAACACGTTCTTAAGGAACAGTTGTTTTCCGGTTGCTTTAAGTTGTCTGCCAGAATTCAGGACAAAATCTTGTAATTTTGATTTTGTAATTTAAAGAGAAACTTTCAGAATGGCAATAATGAATTATGCTATTAATGCTGAATTTACATTTAATCGTTTTATAAGCTTTGAAAGAACTCGAATAAAGAAGAATATTGGGAAAAAATTATTGTAAAAATAATAAAAGGGAAAAAAGGAAGAAAAGGCATGGGTAGAGGATTAACAAGTTTGCAACAAAAGAAGTCCGAAAAAAAGTGTGAATGAAGTAAAAAAGAGTGAAATAAAAAGCAGAAGAATAATGAAATTTTTCATTTTATAAACATTTTATTTTTAAAATGTCTTTTTCAAAAATATGCTAAAATATTTATAAGTTGGTATCAGTGCTGAATAACACTATTTATACAAATTTTAATTAAATATTTGTATATTGATGAGCAAAAAAGACTGACTGTAGCTGCTATTAAATACGTAAATTACTGACTGTATTTGGAAAACTCTGTAATTAGTCTTAGTATTACTACAAGCATATTTTTGTTTGTTCTTGTAATTTTGAATTTGTTTAACCTTAGTTATTTGTTACGCTTGCAAAACCGAGACGTGAAGATAAAATTTAAAAAAAATACTGCAATTAACGTAAACTCTTATTAAGTACGTTATTGAATTATTGTACTCTTATAAATAATTTTTTTTTCAAATTCGAAATAAAATAAAATACACATTTTTTATATATCTTAGATTTCTATGTTTTTCGATGTAAACCCGTATGAAAATTTTTGCATTTACATATGTTCATTTTATATATGCTGATGCTATCTTCTCTAATCGTTTTTAATTTCCACTTTTCACTTTTTTACATAAAATTACTCAAATAGAACGTTTCCTAAAAAATTTAAAACATCTTTATCCTAGCTTGATTTTTTTGTTAATTCAATAACAATTTTCGGATTTTTTGTTTGACTGAAATGAAGAACCATTAAGTATATAAGTAAATGTATTAGTATCTTTTACACGTATAGCGCTTACCCATGTCTTCGTGGAAGAGTACACCAGTAGTGGTCATGTTCTGATGAGTAGCGATATCTCTAACTACTTGGGTAATAATATACCCCGGAGGCGATATTTGTATTAAGTACTGTTTCTCAATTTCACTCATATTCTCCCACTCTGCAATTCCTTTCATTTTGCCATATGTCGCACTCACTGTTGGTATGCCTAGTTTCCGTGTCACTTTCTTCACCAAGGGACCAGCACGGTTACCGATGGCTCTGGGTCTTCGGGTCGTGTCAATTAAGATTGCAGGTTTAGGCGTTGCGATCCTTTCGCAGACTAAAAATAGAAAAGATTCAAACATATATTTGAATCAACATCGTGAATTTCGGTCGCAAATATATTTAAACAAACTTTTGGAAAACATCGTTTACATTTAGGTATGACATGATAGCAAGGTTTACAATTATTGCTGCTTGTTCACTAAATCCCTTTGTGGAGCTACTTTGAGTTTTGTGGCGGGAATCATGAAAAATCAGCGAGCCTCCTCCAGGAATCAAACTCCGGATCTTTAGACACGTAATACCAATTACACTACGACAATACACAATGAGGATGGTAAAAATTTCTTACAATTCCGTAGTGCCTACTTAAAGGTGTCTCTGAAGGGAGGAGTTCCTAAATCCAGAAAACTAGCTGGTGTTGAATTATCGACCACACATTTTTAGAAGTCGGGCACCACTTGCAGAGCTTTTTCAGTTATTTATTTATTTTAAGGTTCTTTGGAGAGAGAAACGGGATAAATCAATCACCTACATCTTCGCCAGGATTTGATCCCCTGATCTTCCGATTGCCACCTGATTGTGCTATCAGTTACAACATGAGAACAGGTACTACGTAGCAGAAAATTCCGTACAACTTCCTGTTTTAAGTTCTTGTGTTTCATTTTGATTCTCAATATTTATTATTCAGAGGTAATTTATTCCTCTAAGGAGGCTTCATTGGCTGACTTCATAATTAAGACTCTTGTGTCATGAGGTTCATTTTCTCAGTATAATTTGCCAGAAAATATTAGCATAACAATTTAGATTAATTATTTTTTTCATAAACTTCAGAAATTAAAGCAAATGTGTAGAGGTTGGCGGATTATTTCAGGAGTTAATACAAACAAAACGCAAAACATGAATCTTTATATATTTTCTCTGAAAAATTAAGACTTAGGCACTCTGGATTTCCATGAGTTGATACTCGTAATACAGGTCCTCTGAAATAACAACAATCGCATTCTTTTTTTAACGAAATTTTCCTCTATACTTCAATAAAATTAACCTTTGTAACGTTTAGAGTTGAAATACGTAAATACTTTTGAGGTAAGGATTCGAAATATTCGAATGGTGGAAAAACGAATTAGAATGATGCAATGTTTCGAGTTTTCAAAACTCGAATTTTCTGCAAGATTTGTAGAATATATGGATTTCATTGTCTCATCTTTGCGCCTTTTAAAATGACTTACATTTATCTATGAAACGCTTATTTCTAAGCAGTTATCCTTTACAAATATTTGTAGTAATCTTCAGAAAAATTAAAGGGGTCATAAACCTTTAAATGAACAAAACAATTGAAATCCTAATGCTTTTATATTAAAATTAAATTTCTTAGTGGCATTTTAAAATAAAATCTATGTTAAAATTTGCTCTAACCAAAGGTACAGTAAAAAGATGATTTTAGGCTTTCGCCAACTGAGCTTATTTTGTATATATTCGCACTTCAGCGAATACTTACATTTATTTTATAAAATTGTATATCATAGCCAAGTTCTTAAATAAATGCTTCTCTTTGTATCAACATGTTTCATACTTTAGATACCTTTCTGTTTAAAAAGTGGCTGAGAGAGAATACACAATTTTTTAAATGAAATGAAAATTTCAATTTCCCATATCGTATGATATCTATTAAATTATCATATATTATTCACATAGAAATAGGATCCATATAATGATAGTGCATAGGTACGCATGATTAGAAAAATTAACTTATTAGCATATGTATCTATATATTTATTAATTCAGAAAGAATACTGTGCTTATGAAATTTCAAGATAATTTAATTTTTCATCAGAATTTCAAGAAATTTTGTATAATTATCTATATCTGTATAAAATGGCCAATTAGTATTCTTCTGACGTTATAACCTTCAGAACTATAATTAAATTTAAAATCATATGAAAATTTCGACTAGCCACTTTTCATCGTCTCAGTTAAAATTATGATAATTATGTATATAATACGGTTTAAATGTACAGTTATGCCTATTTATAACCTTTGATTCAATAATATTTCTATAATATTTCATTAATACTAAGAAAGTTATATGCAGCTACAGCATTTGAAGGTAATTATGTCTTTAAGTTACTATTAATTAAAATTATAATTTTACTGTTTGTGTGCATAATATCTCTAAAACCACTGATTAGAATTTCAAGAAATTTTTACCATTGTAAAAATCCTTTTGGTACAAAATGTCGGACTTATTATTCTTCTCGAATAAAAGCTTTAGAAATTACTTTTACGTTAAAAAATAGTAGACTTTAAAGTATCAAAAATAAGTTTTTTGAAGAAAACATAATTCCATTCTTTTTAAAGTAAGTCATTTTAATTATGCATCATTTTTCTAATTTTAAAAAGAAATCAGCCAAAAATAGTCATTTGTTTTTCATAATTGCTGAGCACAATACACATTACAATATTATGTCGATGACGAAGAAAGTTAATTTTAATATCTTAATTTTAATATCTGGAAAACAAAATAAAAGTAGCAACTACTGTATCTGCCATCTTGAAATAAGTACATAAAATTCTCATAATAAATTAATTAGCTGTAAAGATACTGAGATTTAAAATGGGTTTTATATTTTGCATAATTTGACATTTTACTTGCACTAGACCCCTTAAAGTATTTTATAAATTTGGATGAAACGTAATTATGATGATTATGTAAGCAGTAGTCTTTAATTATATATTTATACTTATTTACAGGCTTCTTAAGCAATCGATGTATTTATCTATTTTTTATTAGTACTAACAAAGTAATATGTATTTACAGGATTTGAAGGTTGTTAATAATGGTCCCTTTAAGTTTCGATTTATCAAAACTATGATTTATTTCGGTTTGTATACATGATATCTCTAAAACAATTGGTTAGAATTTTAAGAAATTTTAGCCATTGCATAAATATAGTGATTGTTATTTTTAAATTTATATATACATTTCTTTGAAACTTTCCTTCCCTTTATTGAACAAAATCCTTCATTTTCTAGAGCTAAGTCGTTTCAATAAAAAGTTAATTCAATTTTCTATTTTAGCTAAAGCACAGAGAAAAGAATCAACAATAATCACATTTGGATCCTACATATATCTTCTTTAAAGAATTTTCAGAAGTAGTCATAACCTGTTTCAAAGCGATATTGCTAACTAAAAATTGTACATGTTTAAAATTATAAAATTTTATACTTACTAGTATCTCAAAATACTTGAGAAAACAATAAACTGAGCTGAAATGAAACGTTTGAATGATGATTTTCTTCTGAGTAAATAAAATACTGAATTTAATTTCATTAACTTCAGACGAAATATAATGGAGGCACAATTTATGAAAATGAGTAGTGAATGTATATGTTTATTAACTCATAATCTTATTATTTTGCCTGTACTATCACTTCTAGTATTCTCGTCAGCTCCCGCCAGGATGCAAATGCATACAAGAACGGAGTTCTTTAGCTTAGGAAATAGCTTTACAAAGAGATCATTGACCATCCCATTTTTATTTTCTCCCAGCTTCTAAATTGACTTGAATCAGCTATAGCTTTTGATAGCCGTGTTTGCCCGCATGATAATCGATGACCTGAGTTAAAACTTATAAGAGCAATTTAGTCTGTGAATTTTCACCTTTGTATTCTATTGCAACGGCCACAGAATTGTATTTTATTACAACGTTTATATTTTGTTGAAGTCGCAAGTAGCAGAGTCTTCTCCTGTTATACGAGCTGTGTAAACTGTTAGATTTTTCATGTTGCTTTACTGAAGAATTTAGTCTGAGAGATAAGTCTCCTGGTTGTATTTACGAAGTCAGTATCGGACATTTTAGATAGTTAGGTTCCGTACAAATGTAAGTTTTAATTTGATGTTACTGTAAACTGGAAAATAAGAGATAGATTTGCATTCTAAATTTTCTTATTAATTGGCTTGAAAAATACGTTGATTTGAAACTTTAAACAATTCTAAAGAATTTTAATTTACCTTCTGATTCTGTTAGCCCGTCTTCAATGATGACACCAATGTACTGGAACTCCACATCAGGGAATTCTTCTTTGACAAACCACTCAAACATTCGATCGACGACTTGTTGTGCAATAGGATAATCCTTCTCAAACACAGCAACTAGGAATTATTAGACATATTTTTAAGTAAGCTAATTTAAATGCATGATTAAAAAATATAAAAAAAAGTTAAGGCAGACTGTGTATTTAATATTTAAAAATAATTTCTAAATTACTTGTAAAATATTATGGTTCAAGCTATTTTTATAAATATTTTAGGATACACCCTTATCTTGGAAACACCCTTATCTTGGAATTATATCAAAATGTAGAAAATACTTACCTGACTTTAATGCATGTATTTAAATTTTTATTTTTATTGCTAAAATATTAAAAAATATAAATTTCATTCCTCCTTAATTATTTTTTGATTTTTTTTTGTTTATATACCCTAAAATCATAAACAAATTAGTTCACTGAATGAACAGTCCCTAGTTTCATGCATGTATCCATCATAATTTGTTCATAAAGTTGTAGAGATTAGATTCAGATTCTTTAAAGTAGATTTCTATGTATTCTTATTATATGAGAAAGACGTGCAGTTGAAAGATTAAGAAAAAAAATTATAGCAAATTAGCAAAATCCTCCGTGCGTGCTGTCATGGTGTATGTGGTAACACCGTCCTGCTAGAAATTAGTTTTAATCTCAGTAAGAGTACAATCGAATTTTCGCGTTTTCTGCGTCGATAGGAAATATCTCTACTCTAGCTCTGGAGCTGAAATGTGGAGGAGATAATCTGTCCCCACTTGTATTTAAGCTATGTGACTCTCGTGCTGCTGCCCAGTTACGCTTTAAATAAGTGCAAAGAGAACTGTTGTATTTCCGTGGGTCTACGTTTTGTGGTGCGAGTGGTAATAATCCAACTAGCAGCTGGAAGACCCGTGTTTCGAAGCTAGGCGACATTAACTCGATTTTTCTTGTTTTCTGCTCAGAAACAAAATTTTCTTTACAACTTGTTTATACTCAAGATTTTTAAGCTCTTGCTTTATGAAATCAAAATTCAATTTCAGCACGGTCTGTACAGTAAACATAGGTGGAGAGGAAAATAATCCTTCAATGGACAGTCAACGTGTTTTGAAAATGATTCTTTTTAAATGTTTGAGAGTAACCATATCATTAACTTTGCTCTTATTTGTGACTTTATTAAATGAAGAACGGCATTTTTACTTCCCACCATCAAACATTGCAATAAGTGCTTGAAACAAGGAATAACTTCTTCTCTAAGTGCAAGAGAGGTGTGCACACTTATGGTGTTACCTATAAATAAGGGTGTTAATAAATAATGACACACTAGATAATTCAGTGACTGATGCAAATGATATGCTCAGTTTATTTTCAATATAATCTTTGTCCTCCTTAGTACACTTCTTACGCTATTGTATAATTTCCTGGTTGCATCTGAGAAAATAAATGTTCCGCCTACAGTCACAGAAAGGGAACATTTGCACTTGAACTGTGGCATAGCTCTCGTAAGTGAAATAAACAGCGTTTCGTTGCTAGGGGATGAGACCTCGATACTCCGTGAAATATAGTGAAATGAATTTGATTTATAACAGCAAATTTTCAGCTTTTTTCAGTTAAGCCAAAATTTGTGTAATGGAGGAGAAAATTGTCAATCACAGCGCAACACACGAAACCTTTATTGACATATGAAGCACTGTAGTTTTTGGTCTTCATGTTAAGCTTAGAAAAACGAAGAGATTGAGAATTTGTTTGTTTGTTTAATCAAATAGAACACGTGAGTCACTATTTCTTTAAGGGAGGGATGCTTCCGCGAATGATTTTCTAAAAGTCATTTTCTCGCATTCACGTTACACATGGGAAAACCTCGAAAACCAGCATTTTTCTTTAGAATTTCAAGCCCTTGGATAGGAAGAATGAACATTTTCTTTTTAATTAATTAACTAGATTCTGTTCCTTTTAAAAATGAAAAATTTTTGTTAATTATACGCTACTTTTCAGCATTTTGCTTTTGAATTTTACCTTGGTTTTTACCACTGTGTCTTCTGTACTTAGCACTTCTCTAAAAATGTTTTACGTTGGTTATTGTTTTATCATAATATAACTTAGATAGATAATACGAGCTCGTAATTTAGCTAGATTTATTAGATGTAGCAAATTTATGCATATTTTCAATTTTATTTTTCTGGTAGTTTTGGTTTTTCACAATAGCGTATCTTACTAATTCCTCGACCAATTCTATCTCTTTGGTATTCCAAATTACTATTTTAAGTTACTTAAATTTCTGAATTTCATTAAAATTTCTTATAAGGATTTTTTACTTTGTTTCAAAATTAAGTTATTTGTCTTCTCCAAATAATAACTCATTTTACTGAATATTTAGTCTATAAGTTTTGTAAACTGTAAAATACGTATTTCTTTCGGTTCGCGTCTGAGCAGACCATACGTAGATGAATACGCCTTTTGAAAATTTTTAAAAATTTTCTTTCAATTTTTTGGAATTTTAATGTCTGAATAAAAACATCGATTAGTTTTCAAGTGATTCAAAATTCTTTAAAGTTTTTAAAATTTTAACATCTGAATAAAAACATCGATTAATTTTCAAGTAATTCATAATTCTTGCAGTTTATTTAGATAACATTCAGAAACGTGGCTCTGATAATACTTCTTTCAGCTTCTACTTCAAAAATACCAATGAATAGACTTTGCGTTAGGTTGCTAGACAAGCTTGGCATATATATATCCTAGCTTATTCTTTTGTAAATGAATTAATTAACTTTGCAACATTTTGCGACACATTTATAGCATTTAATTAAATATTCCGAAATTTTTATCGCTTTATATATTAGAAACTGTGTGTGTGTGTGTGTGTGTGTGTGTGTGTGATTATGGCAAAGCCTCGAGGGCTATCTGCCTAAGAGGAGGGATGCCTTCGTGGAGGACTTTCTAAGGGAAACTGGTATATATTAGAAACACATTAACTTGAATTATGCAGTGCAATGGGCGCAATCTGCGTACACGTCCCTCATCACATTTGCGTCTTTCTTTACATTTTTGCGATAAAGCAATTGATGAATGAGAGCTCAATGGCGACATGTTGACAGGCCAGCAAATGAAAGCAGAAATACGAGTATACAAACTTGGTTCAGAATGACTGAGTTTTGGTTAAACTTTATTTTGATCGGTGAATTTTAAGTTTAGGTTCCTAAATTTGAAATTATTTTTGGATTACAGGTTACATAAGTATCCACATGATTAGTGTTTTCCAAGAATCATTTAACATACAGATGAAGATTAACTTTGAAACGACACAGTTCAGAGCAATTTATTATAAGCAGTTGCTATTTTTAGGACAGAAAGGGAAAATATTCAAATAAAAATGGTAAGCTAAGGGGATATTGCAAATTAAAGCTAGAATTTTGATTTTCATATTCTCTTTCCCCTTCAAAAAGAAAAGACTTAGCGACAGAAAGGGCTCTTCAGCGAAAAAGCGTTAGAGTAGTAAAAAGCGGAGAGAAATATAATATAGAAAATATAAGTCCTAGAAATTTAAACTAATTAATGATTTGTAAATAATGTGAAATAATTTTGAACATTATATATTTGAAAATTAACTAAATTTGCTTAGAACTATTACAATTTATTTCAATATTCAGTCTAATTGAAAAATTCTTCTTTTTGCCAAATATAAAATGTCCAAATGAAGATGAGGGTTTCTCAAGGAAGGTCCATCAAGCTATTTTTAAAGAATACCAAAAATAAACTTTTGCATACCCATGACTTATCTTGGTACATTATAACAAATTATGAAAAGTTACAGTATTTCGATTTTCATATTTATAATTAACATTTTAACTTTATACCATATAATATTCTATTAAACGTATGATTACATTGTTATTGCATTTCATTTTTAATTACTAATTTTATACAAACTGAAGGCTCCAGAAATCTCTAAAGACAAACATTTCCGTATAAAAAACTGGACAAATCCTCTTTCACTGACTGATTGGTCATTTCACTGGTAGTTAAGGAGTATTCCAGCAGTCACTTAAAAAGGTCTTCTTTCCTTCTGTATGGAAGCTGGCCCTTTGAGAACTAAAAAACTTTTATAAAACACCCCTAAATAATAATAATAAAAATATCGAGTTCATTTTCGAAAACGGTAGCCCTCACCTTTTCTTATATGATAGGGCAAAAGAAACAATTATTCAGAGACAAGAAGTGAATCGCGTAATTCTGAACAAATATTCGCCTCCAATATACTATATTGTTTACATTTAAACTTTCGCTATAATAATTATTATATCAGTCACCAAAACATTTCCTTAACAGCAGTTTATACTAAAAATCCTGATATCTAGTAATTGTTTTGAGCGGTGTATTTTCAAACTCTCAACAGATGTAAAGCGAATTATCGCTGCGTCTGAAATTAACTACAAAGTCTTGAATAGGTTTTAGAATAATCTCTTTATTTAAACACAACTTTGAATATAAATGTACCTCTTCTGCTTACACTACCAGTCATCACGTTTGGCGATGTAACTAAAATAACGAGTAAATTAAAATTAAAACAAAGGCTAGTAGTCAACGACTACACAACTTAACTGAAAGCCAAGCTGGCTCAAAACTCTAACCGACTTAAAAATTTTAATTTCTGCAGGAAATAAAGCAAAGCCGAAAAATTAGAACTTATTAGAAATGGCAGAACTAAAGTAAACGTGGTCTCGAGAAGCAGAAGCGCGCTCTGACTTACAATCCAAAAATCTCAGCTTAAATACTCTCTAACTCAGTTACGTTTCTGTAGAGCAAACGGAGAAAAGTTATAATAAAGGTTGAAATTATAAATAACTAGTTTAAATAATAAATACTATCGAGTTATTTTCACAATTTGACAGGTATTATTTATACTTTCTGATTTGCAATACTTATTTTCACATTCTTCTGCCACTTATGTACACACTTAAAATGCTTATATTTCACTTGGAACACTTATTTACATCAGTCTGACAATTACATTATTTTAGAAAAGATAAATAAAACTTGAAAAGTCTTCGAGATTCTAAGCTTTTCAATCAGCTTTACATATTTACCAAATTG